ACAGCAGAGAATGAAATAATTAAATGCTGCCCTGAAAGTGTGTGTGTGTGTGGCAGTGGGGGGGGGGGTTGAGAATGACTTATAGAAGGCATGTTTAATATTTATGGTCACATGTTATTAATTCGTAGCTCAGAGAACTCTATTACAGATTGTTGTCCTTGTGTTCAGCATTTTTTACCAGTGGCATGATAAGGGAGATAAGGGGTAAGATTTTGTAGTATCAAGTTCCACCCATAAAGAGGATACAACAGATATAAGCCTTTATGCACCAAACACCATAGCAGCAAAATACGTAAGGCAGAAACTTTTATAAAAAACAAAGAAAATTTGATGAAAACAATAGTTTAGAAGAATTATAGAACACTTTAACAAACCTATCTCCAATCTGACACATTAGTCAGGGAAAAAGTACATTAAATATATACAGTATTTGAAGCCATCAACCAGCAGACTTAATTTAAGAGATGAATGTAATGTGCCCTTACAGGTTCTACTTGCCTCTTGGCTAAAACCTGAAGGAATACACATTAAAACACACATTCTTCTCATAGAACTTATATAAAAATTGATAGTGTTTTTGGCTACAAAAGAAAGGTTAATAGATTCCAAAAAGTAAATATTCTCTTATTATAATGCAATAAAACTGGAAACTAATATTATTTTTAAAAACACTCTTCTAAATAACTCTCATTAAAGAAGTAATCAAATCCAACATAGATTATTTAGCTTACATTATGATTGAAATTTTAAAATATCAACAAAACTTGGAAGGTCATTGAGTACACTGAACAACCAGTTGGAATCCATTAAGATAGTGACAGACTGGAAAGATGGACCGAATCTAACAAACATGAAATCTAACAGAATTACTCTTGAAATCTTGCCCAAATCTGAAAACCCAAAGGCAGAAGCAAAAAGTGGGAGACATATGATTCAGTAGCATCATCTTTAAAAGAAAAACAATCACACAGCCATAAAGTTTAGAGCTTTTAGTTGACAAATGGGTTCAACATTCATCAACTATGATGTAGCTGTCAAGAAAAATTATGTGATCTTAGGCTGCATGAATAAATATGCAGCATCTAGAACAAAAGAGGTAATATTTCAGCTCTGACCTACACTGATCAGGCTTCATACACAAGGCATTCACTTTGGGGCTCCATGGCTTGAGAAAGCTAAATTACAGCCCATTCAGAGAGGAGTAAGAGAATGATGAAGGGACTTACAAAAGCAAAAACAAAACAAAACAAAACAAAACTCCATGTGAGACATGGTTAGAGGAAGCAGAGAGGCATGGCCTGAACTCAAGGCTCCTTAATAAGTCTTAATGCTTATATGAAGTCTTAATTCAAATATATGAAAGGTTTTTATGCAGAGGAGGGATAAGGTCATAGAAAGACATATTTCTGTGAGCCAGTATATTCTAAAGATGAAAGAGCTGCTTAGAGACCCAGCAAGTTTTCTATCACGGGAGGTGTTCTAACCTAGTTTCGGTAAATACCTGGTAGGGATATTGTGGCAAGGATTTTACCATTGGAAAAATAGGTGGCTGAATCAGACAAACCATCCAAACCTGAAACTCTTCAATTCCCCTGGAATGTGGTGTTCCCCCAATGTGTTCCTTGGGCTTCTGAGTTTTGTATCCAAAGTCTTAAATTGATTTCTTACAGATTTTTAGCATTAACATTTTGAGTACAGGTCCTGTGGGTGATGTAAATATCTGAGTGTTTATAACCTAGTTGAGACATCATAAACCCAAATGAAACAGTTGTTCGGGACTTTAAAATTAAATGTCAAATAAAGACATGGTGTCCTAAGAGTTCAGAGAAGGGGGTCCGTGAGGGTTGGAATAGATGGGGAAACCCTCATGGTGACAACGTCAACATCTGTATTTGCATACGTGAGGCAATAAGAGTGGCTTTAGAAATTGTGGGAACGAAAATTGTATATACTAAGCAAACATAATCAGTTGCTTGTTGCCTTTGATGGCAGGATGTAGGGTGCCTGGCTGGAATTACACACACGATGTGTGCAGATTTTTTCACAGTGTCTCTTGCCATTTTTGCTCTCACAGCCGCTGCAGAGCAGTCCGCAGATGCAAGCTCCTGCTCTCACACAGCCTTGTCTCTAACAGATTGGCCTGACAGCAGTTTTTATTGACTAAGCTTCCTGTTCTTTGTCTTCCTGATTGCCTCTGACCCTTCCCAAACCCAGCAGCTCTTTTATCCTTGAAACGCAGACCTTCCTCCCCTTGCCCTTCGAAGCCCATGATAATAACTACCATAATAAATAATCCCTACATTTATTCAGGGCCGTGTAGTTCCAAATGCTTTCCACACCCGCGCTCTTGTTTGTCATTCATCATGACAATGCTGGGAGGAACGCAGGGCCGGTGCTATCCAGGATCTAAGATCAGAGCTCTTGCCCAAGGTCACACGGAGGAAATGAACTGGTTCTGGGATCAAAACTCAAGGCCCTGACCCCTGAGCTGGTTTTAGTGATATGAATGGTGTGAACACCTTAATGTTCCCCATTCCTGGGGCTCATGTGTCTGGTCCAGGCTGGTCATGAGTCGGGGCTCATCCTCTAATGCCGTTCAGTTGTGGGCAGGTGGCCAGCTTTATTCCAACGCATTTCCAAACGCTTGGTTCCATGTATGAATCTGGTTGAGCCCAGGGTCACTGATGCCCAACTGGACTCCCGGTGCTTCTCTGCAGTGGACCCAGCCTTTGCAAGTGAGGCCTGGGAACACACAACTTTCAGAAGCTATGTCTGCCTTCCCTCCATTTCTTTTTTTTAGCAGCTTGCAAAATTACTTCAGGACTAGCAAACTGACATGCGAGCATGAAAAACATAGAGTTTATTAATTTAATTAAATAAAACTTAGAGCAAAGTTAATGTAACACGTTTAATGATAGTATAGAATTAATGCCCTGCATAGTTTTTAGGCATAAATGGTGAACAGCTTATATGAATGACTGTAATTAGTATTGCTTTAACAGAGGCAAATCAATTTTTAAGTTGCTTTCATCTCACTTTATTAGTTTTCCAGTATTTATATAGTTGCAATCACTATCTAAAGTTTATCTTGACACCATTTGCCATCTAGCATCTGAATTTCTTTGAGCTCAGAAAGCTAATTCCAGGGTCCCAGAGAAGACCATTCTTCTTTCTGAAAGTTCTTTCAAACTGTGTACATTTCCTCCCTGGAGGTGTCCCTATGTAACAGCAGGTGCCTTTGCTCCTTATTTCTCCCCAGATTTTCTTGTAATTGTTATGGCTTAGCTAAGAACAAAGGCAACATTCCAAAACATCTGTCATTTACCAAGAATGGGTTTCTTATTCTTAGCCCAAGAGACCTCTGTTACCCCCGGGTGTAACACAGGGATAAACACAGGGGCCCAGATCGGGGCAGTCTTGGAGAGCTGTCCTGAGCACATTCTGGGGCCATTGTTGTACTCACTCCAAGTCAGGTTTCGGGTTCTGAGGGTATAGCTAAGAAAGGGAACTTGGAGGCTGGTGCTGTGATATGCGTGACCTTGACCGTGGAGACTCACACCAGTCCTTTGTCTGGGCCAATTTTGTGGTTTCTGTAGAATTGGAAGGATGCCAGTTATTGCTCAGTCTGTGCATGTGGTATGAATATCTCCCCACAGGGAGCAAGTGAGGAAGGTGCGGAGAGTGCACTGTGGTACAGCTTCGGGCAGGCAGCAGGGACAGCTGGCACTGGATTAGAGTCCCAAGTGAACACAGGGTCATAGGGAGGTAGGGGTTAAAATGTTGGAAGGCTCAGGAAAATAAATACATTCCCATCCTTGATGTTTTCTTCAGAAATCTCCCCAGTACCTCTTAGAACTGAGAGCCAGGGCCATTTCCTCAATTATTAAAGTCTTCTTACTTGAGTAAAAAGCAGAGGGGGCTTGCCATCATTTGAGTTTAGAGATGCAAGTGCCAAAATTTGCAGGATTTGTGTGTGTTACGTACTCAGAACAGACATTGAAAGCCATGACATCAGCCTGGAGTTCCCTTAACAGGAGAGGAAGAGGGTAGAGAGTGAGGGGCAGGAAGAGGGCCTTTCCTGCAAGTCAGAGAAAGGAATGTTAATGCTTTGGTTTGATAACTTCAAGTCTCAGGTCAAATGCTAACACCTGGTCCTTCCTGTTTGATTTTGGGGGGCATTTGAAGGAGAATCTATTACAGGGAAAGGAGGAACAACCCCAGGATGACCTCCCAACCTTGTCCCCACAGCCACTTTTGTCTTCTTGGTGTAGAGCCCAGTCCTGTCCTGTGGGGCTCTTCTGCTCCACAGGGAGAAGATGCCGAGGGTGGGGATGAGGCCATCTCATCATCTCACCAGCCTTTCACCAGCCTTGCCTTTCTCATACTGTCCGCCTGTGGCCCCATGCCTAGAGGGCATGAGCACCTGGACAAGTGTGGCCCCTTCCTTTGCAAGGGGTGTGATGGTGGTGGTTGTCATTATCATGTAATCTTTTGAGATCTTATGAGAAATGTGGATCACATAAACTTAAGCACACAATTTTAGGAGATCCCTCTGATAGTGCAGTTCAGACAGTGCTGATGTAGCCAGGTAGAGAGAACACATCCAAAGTGGGAACAAGAGAAACCAAGAAGCCAAATAGGAAACAAGTCCACACAACTTGATGCTGTCTACAAGCACAAGGGTCACCTTCCCTCCAGTGGGCAGGAGGGGAGGTGAGTGTAGCAGAGGCCAGGGGGTTGAAATAAAGCAGAGTAAAAGACGATGGAGCCGAGGAGGCTTCACCAGGGAGCAAGTGGGTCACTAGGCAGTGATGGCAGAGGGATCGGAGGAGGAAAGGTCCTGCTGGCCTCTGCGGTCAGCCAATCCTGAGGAACTGAGCCTGCAGCTCTGGCTGACCTGACTTACACAGCGTCACACCACCACCCACAGCTTCAGGTGGGGTTCTGTGGGATAATTTCAGCGTAGACCTCATCAGACTCTCCTTTTGCCCTCTCGGCAGGAAAATTGCTGCTTATGATGAAGAAATCCAGCACCTCTATGAGGAGATGGAACAGCAAATTAAAAGTGAGAAGGAGCAGTTTCTGCTAAAGGTAAGAGTCCCCTCCCAAGGCTTGGCTCTGTGGGCCAGGATGAAATCTCGTGTACTCCAACTGCCTCCCCCAATTTAAGATTGCAGTGCCTCACCCATGGCACTGTTGACCCCCTCTTTCTCTGCTTTATTTATTCATTTTGAGGCACTTGTCACCTTCGAACTTGGCATGCAATGTCCTTGTTTATTTTTATTGATTGTGGTCTGTCTCCTCCTACTAACATGTAAGCTCTATAAGAGCAGAGATCTTTATCTTTTACTTACTAGTGTGTCCTCAGCACCTAACCATGCCTGGAACATAGTAGGTGCTCAACAGTTGAAGCAATGAATAAATGAACAAGTGAATGAATAAATGAATGAAAGGATGAAGGTGCGTGCTTTACCAGTGAAAGCACCCTGAAGACTGGGTCTGACGTTGGCTAAATGGCAGGCCTACCCAGATACACCAGCCCATCCTCTCGATGCCCAGCAGTTGCCCTCAGAAGACCAGCATTAGGGCCTTTACATCCCGTTCTTTCTCCTAGACACCTAGGAAAGTTAGTACCCAAGACAAATCAAATCCCACCCTCCTCTGATAGCATTGGAGAAAAGTTCAGTTCATATCTCCTGTTCCTAGTCTGGCACTTAGCCTCCTACCAAGCCTGCTATTTGTCTTGGAAGGTCAGCACCAGTGAAATCTCCTTTTCTAAGTAGGTTCCTTTTGGAACATACTCAGAAAGCAAAGCTACAGGAAACTCTCTCATCCATTTTTGGATTATCTACTTGGGTTCTCAGCAGAAGGACTTGGGTCTTGAACAATGGTCTCCTATCTTGTCAATTTGGGCTGCTATTACAAAAATACCATAAGCTGGTTGGCTTATAAACAACATTTCTTTCTCACCATTCTGGAGACTAGAAGTCTGAGCTCAGGGTGCCGCTCTGGTGAGGGCCGTAGTCCAGGCTGCCGACTGCTGCCTTCCGTTTGCATCCTCACATGGTGGAAGGGGAAGCAAGCTCTCTGGGGTAGCTTTCATAAGGGCAGTCATCACCTCCCAAGGCCCCACCTCCTCATATCATCACCCTGGGGGTTAGTTTCAGCATATAGATTTTGGGGTCACAACATAGAGACCACACCATCCCCTGCCACTCAGCACTGAGCCTGGGCTGTTGTCACAACCCCTTTCCTCCTTAATGCAGTTTGGCTTGAACCAAGTTTTAATTGTATGCTGCTTTGATTATCCACACTACAGCTCTGTTTATTATCACAGATGTCATTCAAATTGAGAGGCAGTCTGGATGCTTTCCAGAAAAGCCATGCCTGCTCTTCACCTAGAGCCCTCTGGAGACTTGTCAGTATTTCCAGACCTCCCCCCTGTTCTTTTCTAGAACTTTATAGTGTTCTGGCTGCCCCCGACCTTCAGCACAGTGAATGAGTATATGGCAGACAGAACTCACACACTCCTTTCCTAGCAGACCCTAAAATAGCCTTTTGAGAGCAGCAGCCTTTTCCCCCAGTGGGAGAGCCACTTCCTTTACCCGAGACAGCCTGCACAGAGGGGCTGAGCTCTGGGGCACCTGCCCCCTCTGCCTGGGCCATGACTACAGGTCAAAGCTCCTGGCTAGCAAAAGGGGCATGCTTCCAGAAGCAAAAGGGGGACCGAGGCATGGGGATCGGGAGTGGGGAGAGGTCAGAGGAAAAAGTCAAGGACAAACTAGCGCCACAGGAATGGCCTGACCGTGCTGCTGTGCTCCTTCCATACCTGCTCTGCTCCCTGCTGCTCCTCTCTCAACACCAAATGCCTTTCGGGCTCAGTGCTTACATTTATGCTTTTGCATAAACCTGGAAATGGTTACAGTGTGCTTGGCCATGCTACCAAGCCTCTGGGTAACAGGCTTTTGCCTGGCCTCAGCGTGAGGACCGTGGTGTTAGTTTATGACAGCATGGAAAAGGCTGGACCCTGTGGCCAGGATTTGGATCCTGGCTCTGTGCTTAGCAGTTAGTTTGACCATGAGGGAAATGTCAGTCACTTGCACACTCCAGCTCCAGGATAATAGACCCCTGAGGCTCTGAGCAGACAGGGGCGGGGGTAGCACTGCACAGGCCCATCGTGGGGATGGCAGCACCTGCGTGGGGATCCTGGAGCTGCTCACGTCCCTGACACTGTCCACTGGGTGTGCCTGCTCCATGAGCAGCAGACAAGCCCGATGAAGCAGGTTTCCTGTAATCAAAGGTTGGGAGGAGAAAGTTCTTCATCAAATCTGCCTCTGCCATTGCATGTGGTTGAGATGAGGACAATCACAGGCTCCGAGCTACAGTTACCTGCCTGGAAATGTGCAGAGAAACCAGGTGGCATGACTGATGATGAGTCCAGGAAATCCCCTGAGCCTTTGAACAGAGGTGTGCAAAGGCCCCTGCCCGAGAGCAGTCATGCCTCCCCGCTGCTACTGCACTGTCATGCCCAGCCTACCAGCCAGGACAGGGCTGTCCCTATAGGCAGCCTCCCAGGGCTGTCCTCGTTGGGAAGGAGTTGTTCCATGCCACGGGAAACCCAGAGACTCCTGTAGGGGGTTACATGGAGGTTATAATGGTTTCTTCTCTTCCTGCATAGTTTGTACCCCTGTTCTGCCTTCAGGCAAGTGGACAGCTATAGGTGGCATGGGCATTTTTGTTTCTATTCTGTGAACAAAGACACCAAGATCTAGAAGAATGAAGTGGGTTCGTTGGGCAAGGCCAGAGCTGGAGCCCAAGCCAGCTGATGCCCAGCTCAGGACCCTGACACCAGACCCGGCTCTGCTGAGTGTCAGACATCCTGACCCACATACTTTCCTCTTTATCCCACAACCAGGTCCTTCACACCTGCATCATTAGGGCCTCTGCATCCCCGAGTGGGGAAGCCCGGTCCTGGGGAGGAGGGAAGAGGCTACAGAGCACAGGAGCAGAGAGATCCAGAGGTCTGGGCAACCTCAGTCACGGCGGGGAAGCAGGAGGGCCCAGACCCACAAGAGGTGGAGCCCTGTGTTTCCAGAGCGAGGGCCCTTTACGGGATCAAATGACAGTGCCCAACGTGGATAGAATGTACCAGTTGGAAGGAGAATCCACCCCCCAATTTACAGATGAGGAGACTGATCCTGAGATTTGAACTCAGGCCACTGTTCTGTTCTCCCTGTTTGATACTCCCCCACTGACTGACACTGACTCTTTTTGGGGGTTGTGCATGGTCACCAGTCATGCCGTACTGAGCACTTGTACTCTCTCCATCTCATTGGGCCTCACCCACTGGGCAGGCAGGTCACTGAGGCCCTGGAATGTTGTGAGAAGGGCCCCAAAGTCCAAAAGGATGGGTGGGCCCTGCTGTTGAGCAGGTTCAAGATGGGAACAACATCTCCGTCCCAGGTGCATGTAGGCTTCACACGCCCCTCTTTCTGGTTTGCAGGACACGGAGAGGTTCCGGGCCCGCAGTCAGGAGCTGGAACAGAGGCTGTTATCTAAGGAGCGGGAGCTGGAGCAGCTCACCCAGAAGCAGAAGCGGGTATGCTTTTGTCAGTGTCCTCAGATGCCCGGCCCGGCTGCATCCTTTTCTCTGGCTCTTGCTCACTTTCCCTGCCTTTCGCTGAAGGACTTTTTCCCCCCACTTAATCTGAGAAGAACCATTTAGCTGTACCAAGATAGCATTTGATATCACAGATGATCCCAAGATAAAGCCTTTACGTCTCCAATGCCAGGTGTTTAACTCGAAAAGTTGCTAAGAATTCTCCCTTGAAGTATCTGCAAACATTGTCATATAATTATGCCTAGGGCCACCCGAATGGTGAAACATTCATTTATTATATCTTGAATCACGTATAAGAGAAGAGGAGAATGCAGAGGTACAAGGGACACAGTCACTGGTACTTTGGAGGAGGCTGCAGACAGCAGTGTCTTCCCACCAGCATGGCCCTGCATGCCTCCAGCTGGAAGAGGCTCTTCACAGGTCAATTTTTCCATCTCCATCTTCCCCCAGACGATTCATCAGCCTCCTTTGTGACTGTTCCTTCATCCCCCAGAACGGTACAGACACCAGGCGCTCCTCTGATGCACCTGAGCTCCCAGCAGGCGGGCTAGGGGACGTACTGTGCAGGGCAGTGACCATCCACCGCTGGGAATGCCTGATTAATGACCCCAGGAAGACTGATGACCTAGGCAACTCTCGCGTTCACAACCTCCTCCCCAAAGCCTGGGCTTGTGGGGGACAGAGGCCAGGGCGCCACTTGTCTTCCTGTTTTGTTTTGTCTTGTGCTGGAAGGAATCCAGCTCTGGACAGACCCAGACACATTGCTTGCATTTGAATAGAGAGGGCTATTTTTAGCAGCACATTTAAATATGCTCGAAGACATCCCAGGCTAAGGCTGGACACCGCTCCACTCCTGCTGCTACCCACTCTTTGAATTTTGGTTTCTTCCTTATGCAGCAAGATCGTTTCAACTCTAGGAACTGCCAGCTGCCTTGCCATCCCCCTTCCACAGTCATTACCTTGCTTTCTTCCTCTTTCTCCTCCTCACTGTTACGCATTAAGTCCTCACCAATTAGATTTATCCCTCACATGAATGATTGCCACTCGATTTAATTACTGCATGCTTGCCTGATTATACAGGAGCCTCTTGAGAATCACACAGAATCCCTCATTGTTTCTTACTCCTCCCCCACTGGCCACATTCATTTAACTAAATTTATGATGATATATTTGCCTTGGTTTGACTTTTCCTCTGGTGAGAGGGTTGGAATCTCTGCAAAGCATAATCACCAGCCAAGAAAAGCTGAAGTTATACAAATGCTGGTTTTTAATTGCTTTAGGGACATGAGAAAGGTTTTTATGTTTGGTTTCACCTGTTTTAGCGATTTCTTAGGAATTTCCAGGGTTTCTGGTTGCCATACAAATCTTATCTAGATTAAAGGAATTGGACTTAGCTGAGAGAAGAGAAGGTAATAAACAGATCTACTCTCAGTATTCAAAATCGGGAAGGATGGTGTATGAAGATGTCCCTTAGCTGTTCTCCATCTCCATTGATGGCCGAGGAAAAGAAATTGGCTTGAAGGACAATAGGAGGGATTAGGGGAGATCTCAAGGCCATTGATGAGAGGACCACTGTTGAGACCATTAATGAGATGATGATGATCATCATCATCATCATTGGGATGAGAATCAGAGGAACGTGGAATTTCCTTTCCTGGTAGCCCTGTGGAGACAGGGGAGAGTCCAGCGGCACTCTGGAAGCTCCGCCTGCCTCCAGGATTGTGTATGTGCCAAGGAAGGAGCAGGACAAAGCTTACTGAGGCTTGAGAGGGCGGTCAGGGGTAGCAGCCGTTGTCCCTTCCCACCAAGTGGAGAAGCTAGGTGAGGCCGGGACTGGCCAGCCTGATGATGGTCCTTGGCCCCCACTCCTTTCCAGCTGGAAGGCCAGTGTACAGCCCTCCATAATGACAAGCATGAAACCAACGTTGAGAATACCAAGCTGAAACTCACCAACCAGGAGCTGGCCCGGGAGCTGGAGCGGACTTCCCGGGAGCTGCAGGATGCCCAGCTGCAGCTGGAAAGCCTCCAGCAAGAGGCCTGCAAACTCCACCAGGAGAAGGAGATGTGAGTCTGGCCTGCATGCACCCCTACCGTGGCTCCCCAGCTCCCTCCCCTGCGGTGAACCTACTATCTCCCTTCTCTGAGATCCTGTCACTTGCCTATAAAACGGGGCCTGGGGGTCCTTGCTCCCTGAGATCTTATCTAGGATTCTGAGACTATTAAGGAGACCAGTGCTATGCTGAGCATGCCCTAGTATGGCAAGAAATAGACAGCCCTGTTCTCAGAAAATTTATTATGTGATTCAAAAGACATGTTATCCAACCAACAAATACAATGCAATCCATGAGAAAATGCTGAGTGAGCGGACAGACCATATGTGACCGTCATAGTATATTGACCTGGGAGACCGAGGTGGATGAGAGTGAAGCCCGAGGACTTCTGAAGGTGTCATATAATTGACTGGAGCATGTGACGGTGCCCTGGAATCTTTAGCACTGCCCAGTTTTTTTTCCACCAGTGTTCCTCTCTGTGGGTCAGTGGGGGGAACCCCACCTCTCTTGGGGCCTGATTTGCTAGTGAACTGCTTTTGATGTCCAGCCATCCCGATGGTAGAGGCACACCTGAAAAGAATCAGATGGGTCTGTACGTGAAGCTAGAGAAGTTGCTGAGGAATATCAGCATTTATCTTGTCTTGGGAGTGTTAGGTTTTGAGAACAAATGCACTCTGAGGCCCAGGGAGAGGAATGCCACTTGTTCAGTTGTTCATTCATTTGTCCATATATATTTATGTATTTAATATTGGCAAGTGTTTATTGAATACTGCCCTGTGCCAGGTACTGTGCTTGGCATTCCACACATCTCACTTATGTTGATATTTGATATTATTTCATATTTACAGCATCCTGATGTGGCAGTTACTCTTATGATCCCTGTAATTTACAGATGAGAAAACTGAGGTTCAGAGGTTTTCAGAAACTGTCCCAAGATGCTCAGTGTTAGACACATCTTGCTGATTCCTCTCGGTGAATAATGAGCCAGCCAGAAAATATTTACACAGGATAGGACTGACCATCATTCACTCAACCATTTGTTCACACATTCATTCGTTTATTCATCCATTCATTCTGTAAAATGTAGTTGTGTACCTGGTCCTGTGCTGGGTAAAACGGAAAGTTTGAGAAAAGGGCAGTGTTACTTAGCAATGCTGCTGTTATATATATATATGTTAAGTCTTCTCTTTCAGAAGTGAAAGCCCTCACTCTGACTGTTGGCAAAACATTAATCTATCTGCCTAAATCAAATTGTCCAGCTGTTCAGTTCATGTGTGGTGGCCTGTACCCTGTGGGGCTGACTGCCTAGGATGAGAGGGAGGAGATATGTTTGGATTTAAAATTTTACCCTAGTAGTATCTCCAGTTTAAATAAAAAATAAAAAAAAAAATATATATATATATATACACACACACAAACACACACACATACAGAGGGTGCCAAGAAAATGTATATACATGTAAAGAAACAAAAAAAAAACTGTATTAAAATTGTAATACTCAATATATACCGATAATAAAAGATAAATACAAGTCATGTGTATGCATTCTTTAGCCAACCCCGGTATATATACATTCCCAAGTAGCTGACTTAAAACATAACAAAAGCCCACTATTCTAATTAGTTCTTGGATGACCAGTGGAAGGACAGTGTATTTCATTGTAAACAAGCAAAATCAGTTCCTCCTCCTTGAGGACAGGTCAACAAGGCACTGACATTTAACTTTACAAACAGAATTAAGGATTCAGGCTCTTAAAATTCAATCAAGTTCTAAAAACAACAGACATCTGAAGGCAGAAGCATTAGAACAGCAAATGGGAATGAATACCCAGTGTGTCGCATCAAATCACAGCGTGAGGATAAAACCGCTCTCAAGTCTTATCTTAATTAACCAAGCCAGAGACACAGCCTCTGGAGGTTGGGAATTGAAAAACAGGGCAGGAAGGTTAGGAGGAAGCAATAAATGAACCTTCATGACTTGTTTTGGACAAGCTTGCAATGTCCTGTACAGCCAGGAAGTGTGCTGGATCCCAGGAGAACGTGTCCGGTTCAGGGAGGTCAGGAGTGAAGGGCAGTGAGAGCCTCAGCTTGTTCTCCATACAACAGACTCCCAGGCCAGCAGTGCTGATGGAAACTTAAAGCTCTAATCCAGCTCTTCATTTCATGAGTGAAGAAACTGAGGCTCAGAGAGGTATAGTGACCAACCCAGAGCAACACAGCTAATTAGTGCCAGAAAACAGAGCCTAGTTCTTCTCCTGACAATGTCTTTCTGCCTGATGCTGCTCCGGGGCGAGGAGAAGAAAAGGTGAGGTTTGGAGATAAACAGACTTACTCATTTATCAAGTAGACTTCTGAATGGGCAAAATTAATTTTCCTCTTCTCTGAAGATGCTGAAGGAAGGAGAACTAGATTTTAAGGTAAGATGAAGGAAGAACAATCAAGCAGGGGAGGTAATATAACAATAAAGGTCAGCTGAAAAGCAGTACAGCTCTGTTTATTCTGTTAAGTAACTTTTGTTTTGGGTAGATAGTTTATAACAAGGCACAAAATTCAAAGAGCAGAAAAGGACATACACTTGAAAAGATGTTTGCCCCCCATACATCACTCCTGTCCTCCAGCCACCCAGGGGCCACCAGTCATGGTTTCTTGTGGATCCTTCCAGAGTATTCTATGAATATGCAAGTGCAAGTGCATGCACACACACACACGTGCACACACACGCCATTTTCAGTTACGAAACAGTAGCACACTGTTCTGCATTTCCCTGCATTTTTCACTTGACAATATGTTTTGGAGTGTGCTCCATATCTCATCCATCTCCTAAAAACAAAGCCAACAGCAGCTCCCTAAGGGCAGCCATAAACCTCTCACCCACCACACCTATGAAAAATGGCTAGTTCTTTGTTTTTCAGTTCACATGCTACCCAGATACAAACTTTTAGAATGTCTAGGTTAGAAGGACTTTAAAGGTCATTTAGTTAACTTGCAAGTGTCATTTTTTTTTCCAGAAATGCTTTTCTTTTTATTAACACAAAAAAATCTGAATCTCTCTCTCTCTCTCTCTCCCCCTCTCTCTCCCTCTCTCTCCCTCCCTCCCACTCTCCCTTCCTCCCTCCTTCCCTCCCTCTGTACAGCTGACCCTTGAACAACTTGGGTTTGAACTGCATGGGTCCGCTTAGCGTGTGTAAGTGTATCTGAGCAGTTCAAACCTGCATTGTTCAAGGGTCAACTGTATTTTCTATCCCCGTTGCTGGGAATCTGTAAATGGAGGGCCGATGTAAGTTACAGATATTCACCTGCACAGGAGTTGGTGCCCCCAATTCCTGTATTGTTCAAGGGTCAGCTGCATATATCTGTCTATTATCTATCTATCTATCTATCTATCTATCTATCATCTGTCTATCCATCCATCCATCCATCCATCCTTCTATCCATCTATCCATCTGTCTCCACCCAACTGGATGTATATTTACTGTACAAGTGGGCAGATATATTTGCATCGATGTGGAATATACACATGTATGCATCAGTGTGTGTCTGTATAGCTCCAACGGTCAGCTGGTGCTGTGAGAACAAGGCCAGAGAGGATCTGGACCCTCTTGTTTAGGAATTGGCTTCTCCGACACCCTCTGAGAGCCCAGACCATAGATCTCCAATGAGTGACTCTTCTTAGCAGGGACAAGCTGCCTGCTCCCCGCTCCCTCCAGAGAGAAGCAGGACCTGGGTTTGGCGGTGGGGGCGTGAAGCCAGGCCAGGCAATCTCAGCTCTCAGGGCACAGAGGCAGCCAATAAGCAGCTCTAATTCTGCTAATCAGGGCAGAATCCTAGACAGGGATTTGGGGATCCAGTTTGGATAATGGGAAATACATTGTTTTCCCTCAAGTTGAAATTAAATATAATTGGTAATAAAATGTTAGGAATTTGCAGCTCTGCAGGAGTCAGAGAAGTTTGTTGCTTAATTAGGATTGCCTGAGGTGAACTTAAAATTTGATTCAGTCTGTTATTGTCGTAAATTGACTTTATAATTATTCTATAAAGGGAAAAAAAAACTGCCACCGATACCTCTTCAGGAATCAGGTTATTGCAAGCTTGGCACGAGTCCTAAGGACGCAGCAAGCTGGTGCTGTTTTCACCAACTCAATAATGACACCGATGGGCTGGCGGGGGTGACTGTCCTTGCTCAGCCCAGTATGTTCACAACCCAGGTGCCCTGATAGCCTATGGGAAGTGATGAATTTATCAGGCTGTAAGATGCTCCCTGCACTAAAAGCTATGCTGTGGTTTGGAAATGTGGATATTTGGACCGTTTCCATGCACCATGGTGCAGAGCACAGAGGGGACGATGGAGGCAGCATTGTGAAGTTAAGCCAGTTTATTTTCCAATGTCACTCAATTCTGTTTTTTTCCATTGCTTTCTTGAATAATGCTGAATACCTCCCTACTTACCCCTCCCTCCCTCCCTTCCTTCCTTCCTTCCTTCCTTCCTTCCTTCCTTTCTTCCTTCCTTCCTTCCTTCCTCCCTCCCTCTCTCTCTCCCTGCCTTTCTTCTTTTCTCTTCAGCCCTCCTTCTGCCCTCTCTCATTTCTTCCAGCTGCTACTTGACTCTGTCTGCATGCCGGGCACTGTGGTGAGGGTACAGATATAAGCAACCTGGACACAGCCCCTGCCTTGCAAAGTTGCCCTCCAGCCACCCCATGTAACGCTCAGCTCCTTCTCCCTTTCTCAAAACTCCTGATATGATTGACACATTCACACTGTGATATAAATGACTGATTATAACTGATGCATTAAACTCTGCTTTACAGCTAGAGATACAAAATCCTAAGTGAAAGAAATGAATGACCAACAGTGGAAATTCCAGATATCTGGGAACAGGTTGGTTACTTTTGGGGGAAGATGAAGTAAGAAAATGATTCTTCTAGATCTGAAAACAAACTAAAGCAGCATCCAGGGGGAGAAAGGCACACCAGCTCTGCTCTCGCCCTCCCAGATTGGACTGAGATGAATATTGATTCTAAGTTAATTCTCTGAGCTCTGGGTAAGGCAGGACCCTTTGGAGCCTGGGAAAGCGGTGCAGTTAATCTTTGAGTCGTATTCGCAGGTGGAGTGTGAAGTGTCTGTGGAATGAGCAGGTTTGGGGTGAAGAGGTCTAGATTAGGAGCCTGGATTGTCTGTGTGAGCTGGGAGAGTCGTCAAAACTCTTTGACGGTATCTGGGAAATGGGGAGAATTTTAGCTTCCAAATAGGGCGTCTGTGATGACTGACTGAGATGATGGCTATGAGCACTTGCCTGTGGCAGGCGCTCTTCATGGAAGGCCATGTTCCTCTGAGCCCTCTGTCCCCAGCGCGGGGCACTGCCTGCTGGTTCCAGTGTGAAGGCTCCTGGGCACCAGCCTCAGCACGGCGCCTCGTACCCTGGCAGCTCACCTGCCCAGCGCAGTCACCCATCACTGCTGTTTGCGTCCTCCTCAGGGAAGTGTACCGTGTGACAGAGAGTCTGCAGCGAGAGAAGTCGGGGCTCCTGAAGCAGCTGGACTTCCTGAGGTGGGTCAACACTGCATGTTTTCTGAGAGAGCACCACAGACACCTCAGGTTGGGGGACCAACCTGAAAGGCTTCCCCGCCTACATGCTGCAAAGACATAGTTGCTGAGAGAGCGTCCACATTCCCCTTGTCCCCACGAATTGTCCGGACAGCCTAGTACCACCCTCTCTGTGTCTGGTCCATCTACACACATGTCCATTTCCTTCTCCAGTTTATACCTCTGTGGGGAGGCTTTGCCTCATTCTTCTTGGTGTCTCTCAAAGTAGCTTGCACCGTACTTGCTCAGGTAGGAGGGGAACTGAATCTATTGAGCATCTACTCTATGCCAGCTACAGTATCCCTTTCACCTGTAACAAAAGGTAGGAAAATAGGGCAGTTGTTAATATAAGAGGTAACTGATGAGGAAGTTGATGTTAGAGAAATAAGGTAATTTACCAAAAGAGACACAGCTGCTCAGGGGTGGAGCCGGCTTTGAATCTACATCTGGCTGATTGTCTCGGTTCTGCCATATTCCGTTAATGTTTGTTGGATCAGTGCAGGCATGCCTCATTTTAATTGCACTCTGTTTTATTGTGCCTCGCAGGTACTGCATTTTTGTTTTTTGCTTTTCTACAAATTGAAGGTTTGTGGCAACTCTGCATTGAGCCAGTATATTGGCATCAGTTTTCCAACAGGCTCAGATGATGGTTAGCATTGTTAGCAATAAAGTATTTTTAATTAAGGTTTGCACATTGTTCTTTTTAGACATAGTGCTATTGCACACTTAACAGACTGCAGTATAAAGTAAACATGACTTTTATATGCAAAAAAATCCTGTGACTCACTTTGTGGCAGTGGTCTGGAATGGAGCCTACAATATCTCTGAGGTATGCCTGGAAATGGGTCAGAAAAGGAGAACTACTAGGAAAGGAGTTTTCTCAGCTTGCTAAAACTCGCTGTAAATTCAAAGTGTATTGGCCTGCAATGTGCCAAAAAGAAAAAAGAAAAAGAAAAAAAAAAACCACAAACCTACCCAACCTGTGTGGGGAAAGATGGCGTTTCCGTTTTGCCTGTGAGGCTCCTGAGCGAGTGCACCTGCTGCCTGCCGAACAGCTCCTGGGGAAGGGTGATGGATCACAGGGACTCTGGGTTCTGATTTGTGAAGTGCAGGTGATTTTGAAGCTGGTATGATATAAAGATTTTTTTTAAATTTGATAGCAAGGTAGGGTCACTGTCTGACATCCGTGATTGTACCAAATTGAGAAGTGCTTCAAACTGAATGCACCTCAAATTTACTGCACTCCATACATGATTCAAACAGCTTCCAAAGGCCAGGGAGATGGAAGGGGCTCTTAGGCAGCCAAGGTTTCATCTGTTTGAGAGAAGGTCTTGATTCTCAGGAAGGCTTTCGTGAAAGGAAGAGAAAACAATGTGCAAGGACAAGTAAGTGTTTGTTTGTTTTCGCCCTTTTTTCTACTGTACTTAGAAAAAAGAGAAGGGCAGATTCCACAGGCATGAGCAGGACAGAATGACAAGGCAGGACTCACAGACACTTATGGGTGTTTTCACTGGAGATTAGCATTTGTCCAGAACCACCTGCCTGCAGCCTTTCTGTGCTACTACTGCATGGCTCCCAAGGGGAGGCTGTGCCAGCTGGAGAAGCCGCGATGTGGAGGGGAAGTCCCCACGGCACATTTTTCCTCCTCAGTGAAGTCACCAGGCAGTGACGGAGGGCAGTGGGGAAACAGGAATGGGAGAGAGAGAGAAAGTTGGGGGTGGGGTGGGTGCGGAGAATAGTGGGAGTGTGTGTGTGTGGGGGGGTGGAATCAGGACAATGGCCTGGACGGAACAGGGTGAGGAGGGGGCCGCCCTCCTAAGGCAAATGGGGCAAATGAAAGCAATTTCAGGGCACTCAGTCAGGAATGTGCACTTTGCAGCTGGATCGGGTGAAGACCCAGCACTGCCCCCATTTCCTTGTGTGACTGGACGGTTGACTTCACCAGTTGCGGTCTTAGCCTTCTCACGCCCATCTCACAGGCTTCTTTTGAGAATTAGATGATAGATGTGAGCAGCAGTCACAACAGGGCGGTGATGTGGATGGAAGTTGATACGTTTAGAGAGTCGAGCACTTCTTTAAACCCTGAAGCTTCTGCATGGAGATGGCTACACAAGGCAGGAAACAGCACAGCACACTCCTCAGTAAAGATGTGCCTTCCCAGGGCTCCCCAAGTCCTCACCCAGGTTGCAAGGCTGCGAAGGTCACCGCCCACACAGATGGTGGGTCCTGCTGGCATGAGAAGCTCCCTTTGCCATTTGCTGGGCTTATAAAATACCCTCTTTGTCCTTCCCAACTTGTTCTGTGGGCCCTGGCCGTGCTCCTGCCAGCTCACCAGACGCACTACCTGGTACCCACCTACCCGGCATGTTCCTAGTGTTTCTGCAAGACCAGGGAATGAAGTCGTCATTCCAGCCTGTCTCGGTGCTGCCTGCCCTGTGCCTGCCCACAGTCGGTGCCCAGTACACGGCCACGTTACAATGATGAGGGTCAGACCACGGCTGTATACTCCCTTTGCAGAGACCTACAAATGTATTATAATGTTTCTTATCTAATATCTCTTGTCCTCCTTTCCCATCCAGCTACTTCCCATTTCTTTAATCACTTTCAACAAAACTTTCAAAAGAATTGTTTACACTTATGTTCACTGTCTCCATTTCCTTTCCCCACATTCTCAATCTTCCACTGAAAGTGACAAATGACCAACATGTTGCTGAAAATATCGGTCAGTTCCAGGGCCCCCTTTGTCCCCAGCTCTCTGTTCTTAGCACAGCACCTCTAGGGCTCCTTTGAAAACTTGAGTCAGATCAGGATACTCCTCTGCCAAACCCCCACCTTCCCACGGTTTCATCTTTGGAGTAAAAATCAAGGTTCTTACAATGGCCCACAGGCCACGAATGGCGGGCCCGCACTCCTCCCGCCTTGTTTTTTTCTGACTTTGTCTCCTAACTGCTCTCCCTCTGAGCACCCTGCTGCCCTCCTTTCTGTTCCTCATGCACAGCAGGTGCGTCCCAACCAAGGCTGGCCCTTGCCACTTCCTCTGCCGGCGATGCCCTTCCCCCAGACACCTGCAGAGCTCCCCTCTCCTCTTCCAAATCTCTGCTCAGTGCTACCTTCTCAGGGACGTTCTCCCTGGCCACCCCATTGAAATACCACTCCGCCCTCTGGCACACTTTATTTCACTTTCCCACCTTATTTTTCTCAATAGCGCTTACACCTGCACTAAAATACAAATTCCCTGAGGGCAGGAACATTTTCTCTTGTTCACGGGTGTAACCTTGACAGCTAGAATAGCGCCTGGCACGTAGTGGGTGCTCAGGAGACACTTGCTGAGTGAATGCATGCATGAATGATGGTTCAGAGAGAGCGTGCACACAGACCCAATAGTCAGTTCAGGCGCAGCTGGAATGCCTGGTCACACTCTGGGGGAGGCTCCCCCCAGTAATAGCATATAGACCAGTGCTTGATCCTGAAAGGCTGTATCACAAAGCCATTCTGTCTATCTCCCTGCCTCTGAGCTGATTTACATGCACCTACGCTCTGCCGTTAACCATAGTCCCTAAGAAAAGAGATTCCACGTGCTCCCTGGGCCTTGCACACTAAGCCTTCCTCTGCACATATCTGACTGGCAAACCAGCTGGTACTGGGTCTGTTGACTGCAAATGCCATGTTTGAATGGACTTCCCTTTTTCATCCTCAGGGAAAGGAACAAGCACCTTCGAGATGAACGAGACATATGTTTTCAGGTAAGTGGCCAATGCCCCCTCCCTCAGGGAAAAGACGAGGACTGTGGTCCAGTGGCAGCCAGAACCCGAGCTGGGACTGGCCAGGAATGTCCCAAGGCTTGGGGTCTGGCTGCTGCTTTCTGTGTGAGCGGGACCAGGGCATAAACTCTTTTGAAAATAACAAAAATGCAGGGTGGCCTCCTAAGCAACAGTGTGTTAATTTTCTATGAAGTCACATACTTTGCTCTTGACAGAATAAGACTGAAATATTTGAGAGGATTCACACATTTCTTGGATGCAGAAGTGGTAGTTCTGCCCATGAGATGGTACAGTTGAAATGTCATCATCACTTTTAAACCAAAATGCTCACAGTTGTTCTCTTCATTAAAATTTTGATCTCTTGATGGAAAATTTGCATTTTTAAACTGTCATAGAACAAATTCAAAATATATAGTTCACAACTTGCATAGTTGATTTTATGTCAATTTCTTGTACTTTATGGGGACCCCTGTTCCTCCATACCTGAGCACCACATTTACATACTTTCACAAATAGCACAAAATTCTGTATTTATTTAAAGATCTTCACTTTGGACTGCGTTAAACAAAATCTAGGATTCCATGCTCCCCTATCATCTTCCCTTTCAGACGGCAGCTGTTAGATGCTCTAAAGGGAAGAAAAAACTTGGTCAGGACCTATTGATGTGAGTCTTCAATTATTAGAATTATCACACCATGAATTTCACATGTTTCCTTGGGCAAGTCATTCACCTCCTTGGACCATGACTGCGACTATCCCATGAGGAAAGGGAATCCCTATCATTTTTTCCATATTGTAGGGATTTTTCAGAAAAATTCTTAGAAAGAGGAGGGCTTGCACTGGGCCATTAGCTGAACAGTGGTCTAAATGCAGTCAGCAAAAGACAGCTAGTTTGCCCTGAATTAGATGCACCCTGGTTTATAATTGTAAATCCCGAGGACCTTGTTCTACCACCATTTCTTTTCTATCACTGACTGGCAGCCAGTATCTCCGCTGCCCACCTGTGTGTACTATTAGAGCAAGGCTTCAGCCTCCACCTGTTTGTTTGATGATGATAATCATTATAATTGCTGTAGAAGGAACATTGAGTTTATTTTACAACTTCTAGCCAAATGTCACCCTAATCCCGTGAACTTGCTCCCCCTTACCTGCCAAGCTCATTTTGCTTTGAATAGGAGATGGAATTAAGAACCCTTGTGGGGACTAGAAGAAAGAGATGAAATCATGTTCATGCTGGATAATAATTAAAGATTAATTTGGAATCATTATAGCCATCCCTTCAGGGACTCGGAGAGCCCTGCCACCCCTCCTTCTCTCATTAAGGATCACTGAGAATCATGGGGATGGCTGGGTAATGACAGGTTCTTCCTGTGATCTAACTCCCCGTCATCTCCTGGAAGACACCTGTCAGGGAGCATTGGCAAAGTGGTATGTAAATCCCCACTCCACGCAGGCTCTCCATTACAGATGTGTGAGTAATGTGTCTACACCCAGCCTATGCCCACAGAAGGTCTGAAATACCCTGTGCTGGCTTAGTAGCTGTGAACAGGGCACTGGGCTGGTTCATTTCTTACATCCGGAGCTTTGAGAATAAAGAGGAACCGGAACTACACATGAGGGTGTGATTTAAATATGCACAGTCTTCTCTATCCACAACTATTTTTCGTATGCATCCCACATTTATCTCTTTTTACTGTCCTCTCACAAATTATCAGTAGTCCTGGGAAGGATAATATGGTGGACTTCAGGCTCCAAACTGTGTGTTGGTTCATTTGATTAGATTATTGTACAGGAAGTGGAGGAATTCTGGTGAGAGATGATGACAAAAGGAGAGTAGGTGAGTGCTGGCAGGGCAACCCGGACATCACTTGCTGACTTCCGAGTTTTGTTTAGAGCCTGACCTATGAGGTGAGAAAGCGGAGCCCTTTCTGTTCAAATGTTGGGATTAACCAGCAGGCTGGATCTGAGGGCCTTTTGTGTTTCTACAGAAAGATAAGGCAGCCAAGGCAAACACAGCTGCTTCCAAGGCAAGCTGGAAACAGAGATCTGGCTCTGTGATAGGCAAATATATGGACAGCAGAGGGATTCTCAGAAGGTAAGTCATGTCTGTTCATTCATTATCTGTGTGTTGGTCTTGCACTCACTGGGAGCAGGTCCTGAGCCCATGCTGAGTACAGACTGGCCCTGATGGGGAAGCCCGGGCTCAGCGGCACTCATGTCCCTGGAATCTTAGAGGACATATCTCTTCCTGTTCTGACATCCAAGTGGGAGGAGACTGTGCAGAGCAAGCCCCTAGGACAGGCCATTGTCTGAGGGGGGGCCCCCCTCCCCCAGTGTGGGCCTGCAGAGAGACACTGAAGAGGTGCTGCACATCAGCAGAGGAGAGCGAGAATAGGACAGGTCAAGGCAGAGAGACAGAGGGTGTGGCAGGATGATGCCCTATTTTCTGCTCAGCAGAATGGATGCACTCAGTTTTTCAGGTACATGGCTGCTGGGCTCTGAAGGGTAAATAAAGTGTCATATGGAAACTCCAAGAGTCGAACACCTTTACAGACAAAGAACAGGCCCTGTGTCTGACAGATGTTTTTCAATGATTCATATTTAATTAACTCAAAGATGATGTGTTTTATTCCTGTTGGACAGCACATGATTGAGTCCCCAAAAGAGAGGCTCATTTAAAGAGACCATCCAGTCCCCTGTCCCCTCTTCTTTTGGGCACATGCTCCATCCATCTAGATGGCCACAGACAGGCAGAGGCAGCCAGATCCCTTAGCATGAGACATGGGAAGAAAGTGTGTGAACTTGCTTGGCTAGGAGACACTGAGGACAGCAAGCATGAAATAAATAGATATGCAAAGGGAGGTGGCTCTGGATGTCAGTCAGCTGATGAGTCAAGTCTTTGGACATGATCATCGTGAATTCCTTTTATAAGTAGCTCAACAGTGATAGACAATTTGGGAGCCAAATTTCTGCAATAACAATTGGCCTGTTGGTTCCTCGGAACTGAGTATATTCATTGATTGATTCATTCAACAAGCATTTACCAGTGCCTACTCTGTACTAGGCATTCTTTTGACTTCTGTGAAGTGTCCAAATATAAATTAGACCTGAGTCCTGCCATTAATATCCATTATTGAGCACCTCCTATACAAGATACTGTGTTACGTGCTGAGTATACAGCAGTGAGCAAAACCGACCCTATCTCTGCTTTCATGGAGCTCGTGGTTGAGTGGAGGAAACAGACAATAACCAAGTAAGCAACAAATCGTGAACCCTGAATTCTGATACAGGCTTTGCTGGAGGCTGCTGCTATCTACTGCGGGCACACAGCGTTTGGTGGAAAACTAAAAATGAACTTAGTCAGATTAAGCTCAAGTATTGCAGAATGTCAGCAGTGCTTGAGAATTTCCCTCAATAAAAAGCTTTTCCCAGGAAATGCTTCATTTTATGACCATTTCAGTGGCCATTTCTTTCTTGGTTATAAGGCCTTTGCAAAAGCATGCTGTGTGTGCAAGCTTGCTCACGTGTGCACAGACATAAGCACTCTTGTGTGTGCAAGCAGAGTGAAAGTGGATGGGCATGCTAATTATGTTCCAGAGGAGATAAACAGTAGGCCTGTTAGAATATAAAAGAAAAGAGATTTGTTGGAAAGAAGACAGCTTCTATTAAAAACAGTGATTTCATAAAAAGTGGAAAGGTCCTTGAATTGCTACAAATCCTTTATTTTGTATCAAGGGACCCAAACTAAGTCACCATTTTCATGAACAAGCAGTACACCTTAATTTATCTCTCAGAATTGCACTTCAGAATGGTGAGGCATGCATTTTCCCCCTTCCTACTGTTGGTCTGTAGGAGTAATAAACATTATAAGTTGGGACGAGATGAAGGGAGCGTGTCTGTTCCACACAGTCTGTGTCCTTTGTCTACCTTTCTCCTTTGGCCCTGTCGCCTCACTTCATTTCCATTCCACTTTATGCTCTAATCCTTGTGTGCGCGTACACATGTGTGTATACATGCACGTGTGTGTAGGGGTGTAAGTGTGTACAGGCATGTGTGTGTGTCAGTTGTGGACTTGAGGACCTCCCCGTCAGACTCCTGTCCCCTTTAATATGCTTCTCAGCTTCAGTTCACAAAGACCTGAGAGGAACACATGAGCCAGGAAGGATCTGTGAGGACTTTGCTCTCAACACCTCGGCAAGCACAGCGTGTGCATTTGCCCAATGTCCCTGCATGTCCCAACTGCCTCTCCTTGTGCTTTATGCTCAGGAGTTTCTGGAAGTAAATATGCATTTAGGGCTCTGGGGCCACTTTGTCCTGACTCTGACTTGCAGGGACACTGAAAGAGAAAAGGAAGGAGAGGCAGATCGCTGGCTCTCTTCCAACCCAAAGCCCAGTTTCTAGTGGACAGAGGCCTCTGAGCCAGTAGACATCTGACTAGTAGGGTGGGGGACGGGGAGCTCCACTCAGAGCAGCTCCTCCCACCCCCTCCTTTATATTGCTGAGGGCTGCTTTGTGAGCGTGTCTTTTTTATGCATTATCTTACTTGTGAGGTAGGCAAGGCAGTGGGCCACCTTTTATGGTGAGGAAACTGAGGCTCAAAGTGTCTATCCAGGGACACACAGTTAGGTAGGGCTGGTGTTGGGACCGGAGCCAAGGCCGCCTGACTGTTAACCCAGGTCGCTTTGTTTCCAGATCTGTTATGCCCCTTTCTTCCAACTCTTTACTTCTCACAACTTGTAAAAATCTAATTAGTTGTATCATTATTGCTTTCTCCCCTCCACTACATAGCCCTTGTCCTCAGGGAATACTGGGCTTAGTCATGGAGATGATATTATACTACCAGGTATTAAGCTAATGTCATCATCACCTTCATCATCAGGCACTTCTATAAGTGTGTCGAGTGAGTGAGCTAAAGAATTCTGGGTCTGTTTTTCCCTTTCCTAGTTCTCTCTGCTCCTGAGGTGTGGTGCTCTTCCGTCATCTGTCTGTCAGAAAAGCTGTCTGGCTTCCATATTGATACATTTTACAATTTTCTTCCTACTCTTCTTTCTCCCCCATCCCAAATAGCCAGTCAGAGGTGGATGAAGACGTGTTTTCCACGACGAGGAGGAGAAGCTCCCTGGGCCTGAGTGGCTATCCCCTCACAGAGGAGGAGCCAGGAGCCAGGGAGCCACGCCCCCAGGCGCTCCGCAGAATCATCTCCATTGAAGAAGACCCCCTGCCGCAGCTCCTAGATGGCAGCTTTCAGCAGCCACTGAGCAAATGCCCAGAAAAAGAGGATGTCTCTGACCAGAGGGCAGAAGGACAAACCCAGCAGGCCCGACCTTCTCAGCTGGAGCTCATGCCCGCATCTCCCCGAGGGCAGCCTGTTGGGAAGGAAGCTCTGTGTAAGGTAAGGGCACATCCCACGTTGTACGTAGACGCCTATGCCTGTCCCAGCCTGGGAGGTCAGATACGGCTGGTCTTGTGTACTTCAAACACCACCTTCCCCCGCGTAGCTGAGTGTCTCGGGGGAGACTCAGAGGTCCTGGTAAATTCTTCTTATAACTTCTGATGCCTTCCCCATTCCCTGCCCCACTGTGCTCTTTTCTGATTCAGATTCAAAAGCACTTTTTGAATACTTTCTTTTTTTTTTTTTAAGATTTTATTGGGGAATTGGGGGAAGGAATTGGATATTCCCCAGCTGTTGGGGAATTGGGGAAGGCAAACAGACAAGTTGCTTTGTTCTTCAGTCTAGTTGTGGAGGATGTTGCTTCACTGGCCCATGTTGATTTTGTGATCGTTGCGCTCTTCCCTGCTGAGGTGGATCAGTCGCCGGCCATCGGATAGCCGCTCATGGTGGCTCACGGCAGCTCACATTGGCTGCCAGCTATTCACGGTAGCTTACAGCAGCCCACTGCAGCCCCACTGCAGCCTACGCCGTGGCCTGCGACTCATGGCAGCCCAGCTCCAGATCGAGCTGTTGTTCACCATCTTAGCTGTAGAGGGCGCAGCGTCACTGGCCCATGTGGGATCCGAACCGGCGGCCCTGCTGCTCAGAGCTTGCATTCCCAAGCCAACTCTTAACCAACGAGCCACTCAGCCGGCCCTTGAGTACCTTCTTAAGATAAATTCTCTGCTTGTCTCTGCATAAAGTTTCACATATTTAAAAAAATTGTACCTCCTTTCTTACATTTTGTAACTGCTCTCAACAGGGCCAGGGAGTTTCCATACCAGCATTTTTCTCTCCCATCTTAATCAGCTGCTTACCCTTTCAGTCCCAAGTGCCCTGCCTGCTGCTCCCTTCAGGGTGACGCTCCACTCCCACGTCCCTCCTGAAGTTCCCTCTAGGTCTTCCTGCTGAGTTCTGCAGGGAGAGGGAGGCCATATGCGCCATTTTCCTCTGGGTCACATTGTTTGTGACCCAGGCCTATGAAAAGGCCCCTCTACAGCAGGTTTGGAAATGCCCATGACTGTGAGAGAGGCTCCTCCCTGCAAACGAGGACAGTCCTTTAGAACGGAGCCCTTGTCACCTCAAGCGTTTTCATGGCTGTATTAGCATGTTTGTCAGGAATCCTTCCCTGGCTACTGTGCATTGGTTATCATTCTTGGGTCCGGATTAAGTTCCATGCCTACATATCACTCCTCTGAAGGGCCCATTGGCAGGTGGGGTCCCTCCCCACTACATGCCCTTCACAGCCCATCAGTGCACAGACCCACACTTGTGGGCAGTGGACACCAATGGGGTGTTCAATACCCCATGCTTTCCCAAAAATGTGAAAGATGTGTCAGGAGGTCAGGGGTAAAGGAAAAAGGCTGAGCTGCGTGCCTGCTGTAGTTTTTGATCCTCACAGTTGTCTGATGAGGTGTCAGAAATGTATTCTTCCCTCTGGCAGATGGGGAAGCAGCAGCCCAGAGGAGCAGGGGTTGGCCCAGCCTTCTTGATGTGCCTTCACACCATGTGGCTCTGCTAGGTTGGGCTGCCATTGAGCTGGGGACAGACGCTGCAGCAGTGAGGAAACACGATTTACTAGAAGTCATCTAACAGCCTCATCTGCTCTTTAGAAGGTGCTGTGAGACAGGCCCTTCATGCATGGCTGCTGAGTCAGAAATTGGTGCAACCTTTCTGGAAAGTAGTTTGACAATAGGAATCAGGAACTTAAAAATACTACATCCTTTGTACTGGCACTTCTACTCCTAACAATCTTTCCTCAGGAAATAACCAAAGTCAGACAAAAGACGTCCTGCAAAAATGTAAGCGTATAATAGCAAACAGCTGAAAAACTGTCCGCCAATAGAGACATAAACTGTAGCATATTAATTCCATAGAGTATTACACTGCTGTTACAAATCATATTTTCAAAAAACTTTAGTGACTCGGAAAAATATTTATAATTTAATAATATAAGAGAAAGGATAAAATTATAGATAATAGGTCTGTCTCAATAAAACATATGTTCGTTCATCTATATAGAAGGAAGCCTGGAAGAATAGTACTGCAGGTGGTAGTGTAGACTATGAATAATTATTATTTTTCACTCTACTCTCCTGTATTTCCTAATTTTAAAAATTTGCACATTTTATTTTTGAAAGCTTTTTTTTTAAGTGATGGAAAGGAAGATAAGAACAAGTCTTTTTCCAGCCCCCTTGCTCTAATCCGGTTGTCTCACTGTAGCTTGTCCCCAGAGGGGACACAAGTTAAGTGCATGAACTTAAGTAGGAGTTTGCTGCACCTGTGAAGTGGGTCCTGCCTAGAGCTGCACCATCAAGGTGTTGATGGTCTTTGGCCTGGGAGAAAGATAGTACTGCACCTGGGGCAGGGCCAGGGGCTGTGGGGAGCAGTGGACTAAGAGTCAGGCACAGCGTCTGCAGCCAGGATCCTCTCCACTCACTCTATACCTGGGCCTGAGGACACACACATTACTGCTGTAGGCTTTAGTGTCGAACTACAGGACAGGCTGAGCCGAGACTGGCAGACAGCCCATGCCCTCGTATAGGAGTAAAGAAAAGGGGGCAGAGGGCGTAGTTTTTGAGTGTGGATTTTTAAATTTTTTTTTAGTTTAAATTCCTGTAATTGACCTTGAATCCCTTCCTAAGTACTACATGGAATTGATTTCTCCCCAAAAGGCTATTAATGGCTTATCTGTGAAACTCAAGTACAGCTAAGATCTGCTGCCATTCCATTATAGTATTTGCTCAATGAGAGGAGCTAATTCCCCCAAATCCACTTCTAAATAGATTCAAAAGAGCCTATCATTTGGCCTGGCAGTGCTGGGCTGGGCCTGAAGGCAGGCCTGAAGGCAGGATTCAGCAGTTCTCCAGTTCGGTGTAAAGGAATGACCCTGTGCTGGAATGCAGCTCCTTGGTCTGCCTCACTTGCTTAGTGTTTAAGCAAGTCCCCTGCAGAGCTATCGTGTCCCAGACCAATGGGCAGCCACGCCCAGTCCCTCCGGCTGCCGGCCAGAGGAGAAGGAGCAGCAGTGACCGTTTGGCTGTTGGGAAGCTCTGCCCAGCAGCCTGGCGTTATGGGTTTCCTAGCCTACTTGGCGGAGACTGTGTTGCCTTCATTCCCAAGGCAGATGGAATCCTAGATAGAAGCTGATGAGATGGGACAGAAAGGCAAAGAGCAGAGGGGCAAGAGTGTCCTCCATCAGTCCAGGCTTTCAATGATAGGGCAGAAAGAAAGGCCCCCACCCCAGCCTGGGCTGTCTCTGCCCCCGTGACGAGGTGTCCTCTTTGTCCTAACTCCCCTCCTCCCTGCACAGCCCCTAGAGACTCTCTGCCTCTGCTTTAAGCCCCAGCTCACAGGGTCTCCTCCCCACTGCTCCAAAGCCCTGGGAAGGCTGGGCTGAGATTGTTTATGGGCCTGCCTCCTCAATCCACCATAGACCAGGCCTCCTGCTTGTCCCTGCGTCTTCAGGCCCAGCACAGGGCCCGCAGCACAGCAGTTGGACAACAAATGTTGGTTGAATGAATGTCCCTCTGCCCTCCTACTGTTGCGAGGAGGGAAGACTGTGCCCTGGGCCCAACGCCTCTGCGTCTGAGGCTGGGTGTCCTCCCTGGTGCGAGTGTGGAAGCCAGGTTCCCGCTCTGCCCTGGACACCGTAGGGATGGGTGAAGGGCAGGTCGTGGCCAGAGCAGGGGCTAGCAACCGTCTCAGCAGCTGGCCAGGCCGTCTGTTGCCCACAGGAGGAAGGCTGTCCCTCCACCCCCGACCGGCTCTTCAAGATTGTGTTTGTGGGCAACTCCGCTGTGGGGAAGACGTCCTTCCTGAGGAGGTTCTGTGAGGACCGGTTCTCCCCGGGCATGACAGCCACCGTGGGTGAGTCCCCGGCCCACCTCTGGGAAGGGGAGGTTGTGAGACGAGGGCCACGGGAGGGACTTGAGCTCACTCAGGGAGCGGGTGTGGGGTCTGGCGGCCAGGGGGGCAGGGTCTGCTTGCTCCACACTGAGGCTGAGCGGGGCGAGGTGAAGTCCACCTCCCCCAGAGCACTAGCTCTCAGTGGGACTGAAGTTGGCTAAGATGGGCTTCGGGCCCCTGGCCCCCATCTGAGCCTGCCTGTCCCTCATCATTCCTTCCCCACTCTCAGCAGGGCCCTGAATCTTCATGCTCTTCCTGAGTTCACTCCCCACAACCCCCGCCTCCCCAGATGGGCCAGCTGCTTCCTTGCCCTGCCCCTCCCTGTGTGTGTGTGTGCAGGGGGGATGGAGGACAGTGCTCGGGACGGTTCCTTTACCCATCACACGTTACCCATCCTACATCCTGGGCCTGCTGGGTGGCAGCTGGAGTTCATTGTAGAAGCCATTTGGCTCAGCTACATATTAGTGGATGATGAGATTTAATGTGTTCCCACTCTTATACAGTATTTTATTTAGATAGAGGACTTTGTTTCTTTCACACAATGTTTCCCATTGCATTGGAATATGCGGCAATACCCGCAGGCATATTGACCTTTTAGCTTCTACCAAGGTGAATCACTCAAGCGAAAAATAAATTCATTGAGTGCCTACTGTGTACCATTTAACTGCACTGATAAGTCAACTATATTTGAAAATACATTGATGTGGGGTTTTTTTTGGATATTTACCATGGGCTTTTATATTCATCGTTTCATTCTATCTTCACACAACCCAGGGGAGCAAGTATTGTTATCAGCCCAATAGACAGATCAGGAAACAGAGGCCCCGAGAAGTTAAGAGGCTTGTCCACATTCCCAACAGGAAGCTGGTGCTGATACTGGCCTCCCCCCTTCTTCCACACACCCCTTCTTTTTTGATTCCAGTGTCCCTAGTAATTGTGAGTTGTGTGTGCTCAGCATCCAGTGAGTGGTGAGGACACTTTCCTGCTACAGGAGGTGCACAGAGGCTGGTGCAGGCAGGGGAGGCTACTGGGGTTCAGTGGGGTGTCAGAAATCCTGGATCTTCGTCTCAGCTCTGCTACTCACCCACTGTGTGACCCGGGGGGCATGTGTTCCCTCTTTGGGCTTCAGCTTTTCCTCATCTGAAAAATAATCACTATGAGCTGGGTCGCCCAAGGCTGCTTCCAAGGCTGAGTCTCTCTCCAGACTCTCTTTGACCTTTGGCTGTCTGATAGCGCTACCCACAAGACAAGCTTTCCCTGCCCCAGAGCCCTGCCTGGGGGGACGTGTTCTTCCTCTTATCCTGAACTGGCCTTTCCTGCCAACTTGCCTCCTGCAGATGGGTCCCTTCTCACATCCTTCAGGATGCCGCTTTTCTTACTGCTGGACCTTTTCCCATGCTGTTATAATATCTGGAACATTCTCCTGTCCCCTCCCTTCTGCCTTATTCCACCCAAAGACTGAGAGCTTCCCCAGATGAAGAGTCGGAAATATCAGAGATTCCAAATCAAGAATGCCCTTCATCACACTGCACAAAACATAAAGGAGCAGCAGCTCAAATTACTGTCCCTGCCGGGTACGTGCCTTGCTCTGGTGCACGTGTCAGGAAGCAGGGTCACGCCAGCCACCTGAAATGCGCTCCTCGTGAAGAGGCAGAAGAGTTGCAGAGTCCTGGCCCTCTAGGGCCACAGTGGTCCAATCCCAGATTGGGGCACTAGCCAACCACCCGTCCAGGGCAGCAGCCCCTGTACATCAACACAGCCCTAACAGACTCAGTGTCCCTTAACGCTCACCTCCATCATCAGAGGGGACTTCCCGGCCTTTCACTCCTCACAGAACATGGCTTGTACTGGACTCCTGGCTTGTGCGTAATGTAACTTTTACACTATAGAAGTGTGACTTGAGCACCTGCCTACAGCACCTTAGAACCAGATGAAGCCTTCAAAAGCAGGTGCTTGGGCCCTGTGGGTGTCCTGGAGATGCCAAATGATGGGTTTTATAGAATGCTGGAGCTCATTTTATGAATGAGATGACTGATTATTGGAGGCTAAAGCTCCCTAGAACCCAGGACTCTGAGTCCAGTGCTCTCTCCACTGCCGCACATTGGCTCACAGCCCCCTGCTTTAAGAGTCTCCTGCTCTACCAACTGAGCTAGCCGGGTGTAGCCCCCTGCTTTAAATCACAGGCCATGAGCCAACATGTTTCTTCCCAAAGCTTCTCCAACAGAGTGCACCCTGCCCTTTCCTGGCCACCAGTTCAGTTTCTCTCCCACGCCCCACCTCTGCAGAGAAATCCTGAGTTTTCTCCATGACAGCTTGCTGGCATTCCCACTCCCACATTCCTCCTGCTCTAAATGACAGCTTGGGCCTGTCTTGTCCAGAAAGGTTGCCATTGCCCTTGCTGGAGTCCATCAGCCAGCTTTAACCCACAGTGTCCCACAGCACAGCACACATCATGACGACAGGGGCTGCTGATTTCCAGCCGTCACTTAGGAGCCAGTTAGGTGGCACGTTAGGGGTCACCTCCATGTGTTCATTGAATGCTACAGCCGAACAGATCATGAACACCCAACTTACCCCCTCCACACCCTCCATCACACCTCCATTTACAGATGAGGACAGCGAAGTCCTCCCACAATGAGATGAAGTAATGTCATCAAGGTCACCTAGCTGGTTAGAGGCAGAACTAAAACAGCACAAATGCAGTTGCCTGGCTCCTGGGATGTTGGAACTGTTGGTGGCCTTAGAGATCAGGCCCTCTGGCCCCACTTATTGTGTTGCCTCTTCTGTTGGACTTGACTCCTTGTGTTGCCCACCCATCCCCCACCAGCCCCCTTCACAGGCTTGTCTGCTTCCTGGGCCTGCCTGTCAGAGGCTGCCAAAAGAAATATATCAAGTACCCGGGTACCCAGCAGGGACTCTCCCCAGCTCACCACAGCACAGAGCCCATGCTTCCAGCAACCTGTTTGTCTGCCTCACTCCCTGCAAGACAAGCTCCCTGTCCTACAGCCTAGCAATTAGCCAGTGAGGTAGAGGGGACCACGAAGGCAGCCTGCAAGCCTTTCCGTTAGGGAGAGGGCTCTGTCCTCCAGGCTTTGCACCCTGGGCTGGTTTCAGGTCAGGCCCTGAAGGTGTGTTGACAGTGGATGGCTGTCTTCTGAGTTGTTATCAGGATGTAGGCAGCCCCTTCAGTCTCCCAGAGCGCAGACTGGGGAAACCCTTCCACTTCTAGCTAAGAAGAAACCTCACCTTGGATTCAGCTTCCAGCCAGTTGTAATCCCTGTGGATGGGAGCACTGAGTCCTGGATTTTTTAGGTAGAAGGAAGCTGCTAGGTGTCCCTGTGCCTAGGGTACTGGTATGAAAGGGAGGATGAGCCTCAGAGTTGGGCTTACACACTGCAGCTGCTGACCAGCTTAGGCAAGGCACACCATCTCTGATTCCTATTTCTTCATCACTCATGGCTGTGCTGGGTGGGGGTGGTGCATGTGTTCATGCACGCTCACGGGTGTGTATGCAGATAACTCACATGGATGTCACAGGGGAGGACTGTGGGGATGGAGAGATGACACATGAAAACTAGACGTGTCAAGCTTTCCACCAGGGGGTCAGATCACTCTTTCTGTCTACCCAGACCAATGCGCTGTTCCCTCTGGCCCTCATCTGTGAAGCGTGGGGCCCCTAGAGTCCCTGCTGGTCCTGACATTTTAGGAGTGATGACCCTCCTGCCTCCCCTCCACTCCTGGGCCCCTAATGCACTTGCCTTTACCTGGAGACTGTGTCTGAGATGACCTTGTCCATGTACTGCCTCTTGTCTGTTCTGTTTCTTCTGTCTCCATTCAAGCTGCTGTTGCTGTCCCTACCTAAGCCCTCCAAGGTGAGAACCTCAGAAACGGCCTTTTGGAGGTGGTAGGGGGTGCCCTCTGGTTCTAAGATCTGATACCTTTAGGGGGAAGACTTTTTGAACCTCCTTAAGCACTTGTGAACATTCTTAAACAATGTAGGAGAGAGGAACATCTGTTATCAAAGAACCTCTGTTAAGGTCCTTCTCTCCGGTGGCTGCTGGGGGCACCGAGTGCATGCCCCTTGACCTGTTCCCTCTCTCTGTAGTCCAGGGAGGTTCACAGCCTCAGAGAGACGGTTGTGCATGGCCCAGTGGCTGGGATTAGGAGCTGTAAACCCATCTCAAGGGTGAACGTTACCTTTGGTTCCCTTCCCCACCCCCTTTCTTCTCTTCTCGCGCCCCCTTCACCTGCCACCCCTCCCCACCCCCCTGCTCCTCCAGACTCCTCCACATACCCTCGCAGTGGCTGGTGAAAGTCTGATTCCTCCCCAGGGAGATTTGAACTTTATTAGGAGAACTTTGAAAAGGATTTCGGGGAGTAAATTCATGAATAATAACAATGGTCTTTGAATTGGTACATTACTTTGACATGTGTAATTTCATTTGAACCTATTATAGTGTCCCTAAAGAGGGTATAGATTGCATTACAGGGAGAAGCCTGCAGCTCAGAGAGGTTAGGTAATTTTATCAGGGTCCCACAGCTACTAAATGGCAGAGACAGAAGCAGAACCCAGGTCTGGTGTCCCCCTGTCCAGTGCTCTGTTCATTCCCCCACAGGGCCTCCCAGGAGCTGCATAGAGAGGGGTGTCGCCCTTGGCCTGCAGTGACTGCAGATATATTGGGGTCGTCAGTTTCTGATTTGGAAGTAACCGACATATTCCACCTTGCAGGCATTGATTACCGTGTGAAAACGGTGCGTGTGGATGACACTCAGGTGGCCCTGCAGCTGTGGGACACGGCCGGGCAGGAGAGGTGAGGAGCTGTCCCTGATGTCATCCTGTCTCCTTCACTCCCTCCCCTGATGGGGCTGAAGGTCTGGGCTGTGACGGGAGGCTGTGCTCCCTCTGACCTGTGGCCCTTCGGTGGCAGGTATCGTTGCATCACCCAGCAGTTCTTCAGAAAGGCCGATGGCGTCATCGTCATGTACGACCTCACAGCCAAACAGTCCTTCCTATCAGTCCGGCACTGGCTGAGCAGCGTGGAGGTGAGCTGGTTACCCTCCTAGGAGCACCTAGGCTCTCAGCTCCTGCCTCTCCTTTCTTATCTGCCCATCTCCTGCCTGGCCCTCTGTTCTTTCAAAACCTGATTGAGAGCCCACCTTGTCCAGGAACAAACCGATTTAGGCATTCATGTGTCTGTTCACCCAGGTGCCCAGTACCAGGGGAGCACCTGGGTAAATGTGAACATTCAAAAGTGAACAAGTCAGACACAGCCCTTCCTCCCGTGGATGGAGGCATGAAAAATGCAGATTACGTCAATAATTGTGTCATTATGATTTTGATAAATGCTATGAGTGAGTAGAATAAGATTAGAGGAGGGGCACAGAGTAGAGTGTCAAGGAAGGTTTCCTGAGAAATGAGTGTTTAAACTGAGTCACAAACATGCTCTTCCCCCATTCTCACCACCTCCCCCCACCTCTGCATTTTTCTGGCTCCAGTGGGCCCAGCTGTGCCCAGCCCAGGACCAGCACCACACAGTGTTTTGGGGCCTCTGTCAAAACCCTTCCCATGAGGGGAGGTTGACCTACCATATGAGGGCTCCAGGATCACCCCAAAGTGACCCTAGGCAGGGCCCACAAACAACAGCACTCTTCTTTGAATTCTGGATTATCTATAAGACTCTGTCTTGACTTATACTTCCAATATGTTGCTTTGTAAGTGCTTTTTACTTCCTGACCACCTGCATGCTCTTCCTTTACCACTTGCATGCAGACATCTGAAGGCCAAGGGCAGAGTGGACAAGCCACTTACTTCTTTTTATAGAGCCTCAGCTGATTCACTCACAAAACAGTCAAGTGAGATGTCCCAGCTCCTTCCACCAGCAGGAGCCATGCTTGGTTCACTTATTTATTCCAAACACTGCCAGCCACTGTTCTAGGGTCTGGGAATTGGAGCAGCGGATAAAAGAGACAGTGCTTCTGACCTCACAGAGCTTACATTCAGCCTCTCTTCAAGCCCATTAGACCTTGCATAGCCTGCTTACCTGCTTATTATCATACTGTCACACTGGAGACATATCCAAAAAAATATTGATAAGAACGATGTCAAAGAGTTTACTGCCTATATTTACTTCTAGGAGTTTTATGGTTTCGGGTCATACATTTAAGTCTTCAATCAATTTTGAGTTTATTCTTGTATATGGTATAAGAAAGTGGTCTATTAATAGTTTCCTTTTTATGCATGTGTCTGTCCAGTTTTCCCACAACCATTTATTGAAGAGGCTGACTTTACCCCATTGTATATTCTCACCTTATCTGTCGTAAATTACTTGACCATATAGGCCTGGGTTTATTTTTGGTCTCTCTATTCTCTTCCATTGCTCTATGTGTCTGTTTTTATGTCAGTACGATGCTGTTTTGATTACTATAGCCTGGTAGTATAGTTTGAAATCAGGTAGCATGATACCTCTAACTTTGTTCTTCTTTCTCCAAGGTTGCTTTGCCTATTCAGGGTCTTTTGTGGGTTCCATATAAATTTTAGGATTATTTCTTCTAGTTCTGTGAAAAATGCCATGGGTAGTTTGATAGAGATTGTATGGAATCTGTACATTGCTTTGGGTAGTATGGCTATTTTAAAGATATTAATTCTCCCTGTCCATGAGTATACTATATCCTTAAATTTATTTGTATTTTCTCCAGTTTCTTCAGTGTCTTATAGTTTTCTGAGTACATGCCTTTTATCTCCTTCATTAAACTTATTCCTAGGTATTTTATTCTTTTTGATGCAATTTTAAATGAGATGACTGTTTTCCTAATTTCTCTGATCATTTGTTATTGGTATATAAAGCTGCAACCTATTTCTGAATATTAATTTTGTATCCTGCTACTTTATCAAATTCATTTGTTAGTTTTAATAGCTTTTTGGTGGAATCTTTAGGGTTCTCTATATATGATATCATGTCATCTGCAAATAATGACAGTTTTACTTCTTCCTTTCCAATTTTGATGCCTTTTATTTCTTTTTCTTGTCTTATTGCTGTGGCTAGAACTTCCAGTACTACGCTGAATAAAAGTGGGGAAAGTGGGCATCCTTTTCTTGTCCTTGATCTTAAAGAAAAAGATTTCAACTTTCCATTTTTGAGTATGGTATTAGCTGTGGATTTGTCATATATGTCCCAGCCACAAATATTTAATTGTCCCTCAATATCTGAATTTTGCTATATACTAGAGCTGGGCAGAGACAGTTCAAATTGCCTGGGATTAATAGGGGTGAATGGAGATCAATTTATGGAACTGCCCTTTCTGCCATCATCATGGAGGTATAGTTTCTAGGGCTTGTATTTTGTACAGAGAACCTAGGATCTAGCAGGAGAGGTGGAAGGTCAGGCTGAATTTGGCACTGATGGTGGAGGTGAAGAAATATCAGAGACCATCATGGCATAACTTGAAGAATGTGTTCAGTCTTTCTCCAGAAAAACTGTGCCAGGCACTGGATGTCTGGCATGCCTGGGGTCGGGCTGAAAAGCATTGTCAGCATGCGCCCAGCAAGAGTCCCCATGGAGTGCTAGTGGATCAATGGGCTTAGGAAGCCACGCTGAGATGGCAAATCTGTATGTGGTGAACTCAGAATTACCTGTGTGTGAAGGGGGCTTTTTTGTATGATTTCTAGTTTGAGTTCTCCTTTTTAAAAATTAGCAAAAGGTATAGTTAAATTCCGAATGATGATTCCAAACCTGGATAAACATCAGAATCACTGTGGTGCTTCAAACAAAACAGATGTCAGGGCCTCCTCTCCCAGATAGAATGATTCAGGGCCTATAAATAAAAATAAAAAAAATTAACTTTCCTAGTTGATTCTCAGCCACCATGCTTCCCAGACTAAACAAGTGCTTTTCTAACTCAAATGTGCATAGGAATGCCCTGGACATCTTGTGAAAATGCGGACTCTGAGTCAGCAGGTATGGGATGGGCCTGAGATTCTGCATTTCTAACAAGTGAGGCTGGTGCTGCTGGTCTGGGGACCGCACTTTGAGAAGCAAGGCCCTAAGTCATATTCAAAGATGTCCATGTACCTTCAACACGAATTTTCTGAGCATCTCCCACACGTCCGGCACTCGCATGGCAGTCCAGAGGACTCAGTGTGATGGATTGAGCCTGCTGGCCCAGGGTTTCGCTGGCAAGCCCAGAAGGCTGTCAGATGGCGGACCGTGTGGTGAAGGTGTGGAACAGCAGCATCATAAATGCAATTATTCTCAAGATTCTTGAAAAGCTAACTCATTCTGCCTTGGCAACCAGCAATCAGAGGTATCAGGTGATAGATTCAAACTTGACACTTAATTTGATCGGAGGGGAACTGGAAATAATAAGTACTTTATATTTGTGGAGCACCTTATTTTTCCATAAAGTTCCAAGCTCTTTACCACCTCCCTCACCTGGGGAAGGGAGGGTGGAGGGGAAACTTGACTAACAGGCTTCAGGCTCTGAGGTCTTATTACTAAGTGAATGCTGGCCAGCTGTTCTCAGTGCCCCTTCCTCCCATCACCTAAAAAGCACTACAAAAAGAAAGGGCTGAAATTGCCCCCAGATTATACATGGCAAAGACTTACCCTTGGAAGAGTTTGTGTGGGGCAGGAACAGAGGCTCAGGGGAGGGATGGAGTTCCCTGAAAAGGAAGTCTTACCCTCCCAGCTCTCCCACTTCCTGGCCATGACACTGAGGCCAGTCACTCAGTGAAGGTGTATACTGAACGCTCTGAACGTTCCCTTGTGGCCCCTACATTCTACAGGGTAAGTCGCTGACTCTCTGAGGGGACCAGAGAATGCTAGAGGATCCTTCCAGCCCAGAGGGAACCCAAATCCTTTGGCACAAGAGAATAACCGCCCACCCTGCTTTATGAGCTGGGAGCGTCCTGCCCCATGACTGTTCTCCCACCCTTCCTCCCTAGTCCTTCCCACCCTAGGAAGCTTTACCTTGCCTAAGAGGCCCAAGCTGGGCCCAGACACACTCTGTGCTGATTGCCTGCCATTTTATATTTCTTACACACCTTATGGGAAGTCAAAGCAGTTGGCCATTCCTGACACCTGGGATTCCCAATCCTCCCCTACCTCCTCCTCATCTCCACTGAATGGGCCTCGTTTAACCAGTCCAATCAAAAGAAGAAACTGGTTGGGCTCAAGGGCCCTATGTTTTGGCCATGGGATACACTGGACATCGGAAGCCTGTAGGGCCTGTATCAGAGAAAATAGGATTTGGTGCAAGCCTGAGTGGACTGGTATTTCCCCAAAACTCAGATTGTTGGTCCTCAGAGTCTGCAGCCCTGGCACATTGAACTTCTATTTTAGGTCTTTTTGACATTCTATAGCACTATATTGTTAGACCTGTAAATCAAGGAAGTGGAATATGACTGGCATTATTAAGCCAACAAAACCAGTGTCTTTAAGCTGGAAAGATACTTGGAGCTTAATCCAATGTAGCTTCTTGTTTTATAGATGAAAAATCCTGAGATCCAGAGAGAGGAAATGACTTGTTCAAAGGCACCCACGGCTTGTCAGACGGCACAGCCAGAACTGAAATCTAGGGCTTTGCCACTGCGCTATGCTTCTCTCTGTCACATGGCCCATGGTTGAAATCTGCTTCTGATAAATAGGTCCATTTCTTCTTCAGTCCTTCTAGCTTCTGTCTCAAGGCAGAACAGTTCTTTAGCTGAAAGGAGTCAGGCCCACTTTCCTCTCCTTTCGTGGACTGCTAACTAATTCTCATTCTGTGATCTTTGTCGTTGGTGACAGTGTACAGCATGGAGCAAAAAATAGCAGTTTGATTTTTTTTCCCACATTCCAAGTTGAGTTTGAAGTGCTGGCAGTTTGAAACGAACTACACAAATAAATCTTGTTTTGACTCATAGTCCAGGGGGTGGATAAATATGGAAACCCCCAAGATATAATTTTGCAGTCATTTTTTTCTTAGCATAACTGCATGCTTTAATGTGCTGAGAAATTTTTTTGTTCTGGCAGCACTATCCCAGCTAAGTGCTTTTCTTGCCTCCCAGCAAATAGACATTAACACACACGCACGCGCGTGCGCGCGCGCACACACACACACACACACACACACACAAGCGCCCGTGCACACACACACCAACCCAACAGCTGCCTGTTCTGAGCTGAATGCTAATCCTCTGCTCTCAAGTGACAGCCCTTGTTATTTAAAATCAGAGATGTGTAATCTTTTAAATTCCAACAAGCCTGGCTTCCAACAAGCTCAAGTTCAGAGAAAGGCAACTAATATGATCAAAGGTATAGAGTAGCTTTCGTGTCAAAGTCAGAGGACACAAACTGGCTTTGGAGGCCTATTTCACAGCTCAGAGATGAGAACATCAGGGAAGAGGAGCGATTGGGGCGAGAGCAGAGCCAGGTGCCTACAGAGAGATTGTATGCCTGGCTAAGGAGTTCCATCCCTCCCCTCTTACCTGGCATGCCTATGGAATTGTACCAACATCTGTAGAAATGTCAACAGAGGTTGGGTGTACCTTAGACTTGTTCTCCAAAGAAGGTGGGCTTTGGACGTTTGAAAGGAAGTATTGCTTCAGCTGGTGGATAATTATGAACATCTTTGTGCCAAGCAGTATTTAGGCTGAAAACCTAGTTAGGTGTGCAAAAGGTGTGAAGTTTAGGCAGATAGCTCAAGATGTGAGGTTAAAGTGAGAGAGGGCCATGAGACACCTGGCCCAGCCCCAACACCTTCCTAGATCCCTGTGTCAGAAACTAATCTTGGGTCCGGGGTGGCATCCACTGACTGCCCATGATAGCACACTCTCCATTCTTATGTGCATTCTCACTTATTTCTGCCATATCTTTGGAGATAGGCGTAATTCTTCTTTATTGGTGACAGGCCAGGGCCTGTGGAGGTGAAGCAAGTTGCCCAGAGTGTCTGTGTAAGAGGAACAATGCAAAGAAGAGAAACAACAGCTCCAGTTGGGAGTTTGGCTTTTTTTTCTCCCCCTTCTAAGCTCTTTTATTTTTATATCTAGGAATTTCTTTTGAAAAGAAGACTGCCCCTTGTTTTCCCAAGAGGCACACGGCGGTGTGTGTTGCACAGAGCTCAGATGGTGGGCACATGTCTCCCTACCTCATCCTATTTGGTCCTTTAGTACTCAGCATGCCCTTTGTGAGGGAGGAAACTGATGCCATCACCCATTCCAAGATACCAGAAAGGGGTTAGAATTCTGCCCTAGGATTTCAGGTCTGATGCTCATATTCTCAGAGAGTTTTCAAGTCAAGAAATCCCACGAGTCTTAGTCATCCTCACACATAAATCTACAAATATCTCTCCCTCTCCCCCCCCCTCAAATGGTCCAAGCAGCAAGCCTTTTGGCCCATTTCCCTGTTTCCTCCTCTTTTCTTCCATTTCTGTGAAAAACTGCCCAAGTTTTTGTGGCACAGCACAGTCAGAGAATGGGGGTGTTCCCATTAACCAACAGCCTGGTGACAGGGAGCCACAGCATTCTCTACACACCAGAAGTGAGTTGTTCACTTGCAAATTATTGGTCTGTGATGCAATCCACTTAACCCATCGACCACAGTGCACGTAACTGAATCTATTCTGATGGGTCAGAGACACTGTAAGATCTTGTAGCGAGCGCCTTGAGTCACATCGTCAGTGTTAATCACCATCTTACTGTGGATATGTGGAAACACTGCTTTTAGAGAGTTCTCGTTAATAAGACACCAAATAGCAGACAGTTCATAGAACTCAGAATTTAGAGGAAAACAGTAGAGAATTGTGGGTCCATATCCTAAAGGGTCTTCGTAACTCAGTGACTTTGATGTTGAGTGTTCTTTTGGATTATCTGAGCCTCAACATTCTCATTTAGTAAATGAGAAATTTTTTCAGTAGTGAACTGCAATAAAAAGGAATGTGTAGATTAAGGAAACATTGAGGCTTAATTTCAAATGTAATTGCATTTTACCTTAAAATAGGTGTAACTATCGGATGGACGTTGGACGTGTATTTTAAATGATAACGTGAAGTAGCTGGACTAGTGGCAAAACAATAACCGCTTATTAGCTTGTTATCCCACAGCCCTCCCTGTTTAGTAAAACATACAGCTATGCATATAGTGAGTGACTCTTCACTACCAAATTATGATTCAAAGCCTCTAATTAAATATCTCACAGGGTAGAAATAACAGCCTGCTTAAATGTGAACCTTATCCTATTCCCTGACTTAATAGCTATGTGTCCTGGGCCCTCTGTCTGCCCTGAGGGGAGGTGTGTGCAGTGCCCCCATTGCACAAAGGAAGTCGGGACACTGGGTTTCAGGCACTGTGGGGTGTGCTGACCCTGCTGATCTGCCACAGCCACTGGAGGAGGGACGGGGTCGACCCCTTGAATAAAACCGCTACTTCTGACCCAGGACGTGCAGCTGCTGTGGCCACACAGCCCTTCCCTGTGCAGGGCTTCCTTCAAAGCTGAGCACCCAGTGACAGGCTCTGTGATATTCCATGCCATGACCTCCAAGGAGGGACACAGCAGTCACTTATCGGGCACTGTGGACCCAGCCCTCAGGGCACTCACGTGCCCACTGTGAGGCCCCTGGAGATGCCACTTCTAATCACAGCAGCCCCTAGAACAACTCCAAAGCACACTGTATTAATTCCTTTGGTTCATTCTGGTTCATTTAGACTTAAGTCCAGTCACTTAGGAATACCCTCAGGGGCGCTGTAAGCCCTGGAAAAGGACGCATAGTACATGGGTGGCAAGTGTGCCCTCATCCTGCTACCCCTTCCCAGCACATGTTCCATCCAGCATCCACGGAGAGTGGTGAGGGAGGGAGGTTCGCTGCACTGCCGGGTGCCGGAGGCCCCCAGACGCAGGCCTCAGGCACCCTGCAGAAGCCTTGTGAACTGAGGCTCTCCGAGAGGATGGCTCCTCCCCTACTCAGCTTTCAGGATGACTTTATTATCACTTGGCTTGTTGTGGCAGCCGGGGATTCTCAAGCCAGATTGTCTCTTTCCAGCTAGCATTTTAATCCTGCCCTTTCGGGTTCTCCTTCTGGATGCTTCTCTCAGTTGGGGGATTGTGTGTTCTGTAGGAAGCTGTGGGAGACTGCATTCCCGTCCTTCTGCTGGGCAATAAAATTGACAACGAGAAGGAGCGGGAAGTTCCCCGGGGCCTCGGAGAGCAGCTTGCCAAGGTAAAGAGCAGACATTTCTACCTCTGTGGACAGGGGAGGACCCCAGGGCAGGCAGGCATGTGACCAAGGGCCTTGGGGGGAGCCTTCCCTGGAAGCCTTCTGGGAAGGAGGCATGTGGGCAGGTGGGTCTCCTGGCATCATGGGAATGGTTCAGCTGGTGTGCTTGTGAAGAAACTTCTGTAGAAAGCCACAGGTTGCGAGATGGAGTTGGCTAGGGATGACTAGGGGATGGAGAATTTCCCCAAACTGTCTTCCTCAAAACCCAGATTTATACATTCTTAGATAGTAAGGGGTTACTTGTTTCAGACCCTATCTGATGCTTGAATCCCATCACCTATGTTTTCACCTTCAGAAACACTCACTATCTGCAGGCCTACCCCCCTAAGGGTATTATTAATATATAATATATAGTGCATACATGTATTATATTCCTGAAACTCAAACTTTCTGGATTCCAAAATATATATATGAATCCAGGGATTTTGATTAAGGAACTACAGACCTGTATTTTGATCATCCCCTTTTCTTTTTCTGGTCAGTCAAAAACAAAACTGAGGGGGCTGGCCGAGTGGCTCAGTTGGTTAAGAGCTCGCTCAAGAGTTTGAGCTCTGAGCAACAGCAGTTCGATGCCCGGCCCGAGCTGAGCAGCCGCTGAGCTGCCAACAGGTGGCAGGATGGCTCGGCTAAAAAAAAAAAAAACTGAGGGAGGGTCAGAGAAATTCAGTGGTTTATTTACGTTATCACACAGCCTCTCAGTGGTGAGGTGAGGACTGGAAGCTGGAAGACAAACATGTCTTCCAATTCGAGGTCCTATGCACTCTCCCTCCCCCTCACCATGGAGCCTTCATTCTTCCACAGACTGACCCTGAGGCGGGGTCTGACAGAAGGGTTGGGTGGCAGAGGATGGAGTGGGTCTGCAGCATGTGGAGCAGGGAAGCTGACTTGGGAGCCAGCATTTGCAGAGCCTCCTGACCTGCAGCCACGGCAGCACCCTCAGCTGCCTGCATCCCCAACAGGACACCAGCCTCCAGGGCCACATGCCATTAGCATCATCATAGGAAGCAGGGAAGCTATGAGGGGGAGTGATAAATGGAATATGATGAGCCGTGGCCAAAGGCCTCCATCATGCCTCGTGCCTCATGGAGTGATGGACTGCTGTTCCGTGGCACCAGTGCTGACAGCCTGGGCAGCCGGACTGTTCATTAACAGGTGTAAAGGAGAATTCCTACTGGAGTCCCTCAGTGACACCTGCCCCGTGGCCCATGGCATGCCAGGGTCCTGGGGAAAGCTTGCTGCTGGGAGCCTGGTCATTAACTGAATATGTGACCGGAGCAGGCCCGCCTGCCTGTGAAGTGGAAAGAACGTCACCCACCCTGGCTTTTGTGTCTTTTCCTGCATCACAGGCTGGTGTGAAAAGGAAATGAACATAGACATACCCAACCGGAGAGCAATTTGAGAAAGTGTAAAACACTAAGACAGCTCACCGGTTTGTTTTACAGCTGTTACAGCTCACCTGGGAGATGGTTGTAGAACTTGCATTAGTCGGGTTGCTGGGTTGCCTGAGGAGACAGAAATGAACCTCTCACAGTGGGGAGGGGGCAGGGGTGTGGGTAGATGCAAACAGGCTGTTCTCCCCCCCCCACCGGCCCCCAGGATTCTCTCCAGCTCCTCCTCTGTGTATTTCCTCTGCTTTGATTGTAGGAGAACAATCTGATCTTCTATGAATGCAGTGCCTATTCTGGTCACAACACCAAAGAGTCCCTGCTCCATCTGGCCAGGTAGAGACACAACTCAGCAGGTGACGTGACTGCTGTGTGGTCCCGTGGGAACCACTGCCTTCACCACCCCTCCAACCTCTCCTGCTCTGGGCCTGAGCCTTCTGGGTCAAGGGGCTGGTGGCCTAGGCCTTTGTATGGGGTTGCAAGGGTTAGGGACAGCCTTCTGAGACACAATAAAGCCAAAAAGAAAGCCTCCCACTTGTCACTGGGTGGGGTGCTGCAGTCTTCTTGAATCTTAAAGACGGCCTTTTTCCCAGGAATCCTCTTTTTAAATGCAGATGCTCCCGGGAAAGGTCAAATCATAGGCCCCTCAACACTGGCTAATATCTTAGCAGGGATTAGTTGGCAGCCAGCTGGGAGCAAGAAAGGTTAGAGTTCCCGGGAGTGGAGGCTGGGGGAGTGGGGAGGGAAGTAGGGGGGGGGTCAAGGAGAGGAGGGGCTGTCATGGGGGACCAGAACGCTCAAAGGACTGGTCCCATGGAAAGACAGGCTCCACAAGCCTCTGCCTACATCAAAATGAAGAAAATGAAACCACACAAGGCCTCATTTTTAATACTTGGGCATTCAGTCATTCACTTATTTAGGCATTCATTTCATTCCATCCATCCATCCATCCGTCCATCCATCCGTCCACTTATCTAACAAATACTCAGTAGCACTCATTTTGTGCTTAGCATTCATTCTGGGGGCATCTAAAACATATTTTCATTTGGATAATTTAAGAACCCTATGCATTGGAGAGGTTGTAGAGTTATGGAAGATCATGGGGAAAGTTCTAGGCATTTTCTCTGCCACTGACTCCTGGGGCATGTCAACCTACCTCACAGAGCTTTGCCCTTAAGGTAGGAACATCAGTTACACCTCCCTGCCCCCTCACAGGTTGCTGTGAGAATCAAGAGATTCTTAAGGTGAAAGCTCTTTGGCAGCATAGAGCAGGGATAAGATACTTAGCACTGCTTTTTATTTTTAATCCTTCACCTTCTACATTTAATCTGGAGCTGTGGCCACCTAGGACAGCCCTTCCATAGGGTTCATAACCAAGAAATGTATTTTTTGAGCCTCCACTGTGTTCTGGGCCCTGTGATAGGCTGCAGAGCCACTGAGACAGAGGATACAGTCTCTGCCCTCAGCAGCGCCTTCTGTGTGGAAGGAGCCAGCCAAGGGGCAGTGCATTATGATACAGGGTGATGGGGTTTTAACAAAGGAAGGGTCAGAGTGCTATCGGGAGTGCTTACACCACATAGGTGACCAGGGGAGGCTTCCTGGAGGAAGTGTTGTGAAGGCTCCATATTGACTAAACTCTGGCTTTACATATAGTCATGCACCTATACTCCCCAGGGGGAGACTTAGAATAGTCTCTCTGATGCTCTGGTGAGGCTGCAGTCCCTCCTTATCACCCAGAGGGCCTGTAACCCAAGGGCCTCGCAGCCCTCCACTACTGACTATACCTTCCCCTTTCCCAGGATCCTCAAGGAGCAAGAAGACACAGTGAGGGAGGACACCATTCAGATCGACCGCCCTGCCAAGAAGAAATCCTGCTGTGGCTGATGGATGGCCTCCCAGGAACACTGCAGCCAGGCCTGAGGTCCCAGGGCCTACCCTGAATCCTGCACAGATGCCTCACCAAGGCCTAACCAGTGACTTGCTCCCCCGACCCCCAAAGGAAGGGGAGCACCTCCAGTCAGGAAAGCTGCTCTTGGAGCATCTTGGAGTCTTTTCTCTCCCTTCTTTCTCTAGACCCCAGATGCCCATTTTTTTTCCCTGTCCCCCCAGCATGACTTCCTGGGGGAAGAAACAGATGGGCTTTTCTAGAAAAGCCGCTGAGTGCCTTCTCCACCTCCCTTTCCCCGCCTTGCCTTTAAGAACCAAGTGCTGCAGTTGCCATGGCAATGGTGCAGGGCTGACTTGCTGCTCCCTGCAGGCCACAGATACAGCACCTGGGCAATACCAGGACGGTTGGTCTGGCTTTGGCTCCTGTTCTCTGGATGCCAATGGGACACGCTTGGCATATGCTTCATGGACCTTGAGGTGCGCGCCTGGTGTTGAGGGAAGCAAACCAGGGCACCCCATCCTGTTCCCGACCCCTACCCCACGGGTCCTGCTCCTTCCCAGGCGCCAGGGCTCACAGGTATTTGCCCCCCAAGTTTCTGAACGTGCCTTACAAAGAGCCCACAGCCTTTCCTCTCCATTGCCCACCCACAGGCAGGACTCCACGGCGGCCTGGGGGTGATAACTGTATGCCTGGGGTCAGGGAGTGGGCTTACTTCCTACTTAACTTTAAGAGACGAAAAGAAAACTAGGGGAAAAAACCCATCTGCTGCTAAACAGAGCGACCATTTCTGCAGGGTATAAATAAGGTATATGTAGCTATATAAAAGCCATTTTCTAAACGTTTCTCAAAATAGCTCTTTGAAAACTTGCACATGATGATTAATGGGGTAGATTGACATACAGGCAGTGAGGCCCAAAACCAGGTCCATAGTCACTGACTTTATTTTATTTTCCAGAAGACTGTATTAAAAAAAACACACAAAAAACCAGCATGGCTGTGATGGTGACATCTTTCTGGTGTTTGTGAGGTGACCAGTGTAGCTGTGGGCTTCGGCACCCCGTCACTGCGGCAGCACAGGGCACCCAGGGATCATTAAGGGGAATGACCTGGGCCCATGGTGGCTCCTTCAGCTGGTAGTGGTGTGTTCCCAGCCCCAGCAGGGCTGTAGCGTCACTGGTTGGCTATCGGTGGGGCTGGCGAGGGCATTCTTGCCCTGGGTGGGATGAAAAGATGGTAAAGATTGCTGCCAATTACCACTCTAGGGCTGGAGACCCATGCCCAACAAGAAAGTGGACGGCGAAGGGAGAGGGGCCGAAAGTGTCCATAGGCATCCAAGCAGATGGCCCAAGACAACTGCACACAGTCAACCAGGTGAGGGAGAGGCCGGGGTTCCCAAGGCTGCTCCCTGCAGGCTCCTCCCCAGACCCCCAAAAGGATCAGTCCCATGGGTCACCAGGCAACTGCAGTCTCTCTGTCTCTGTCTCTGTCTCTCTCTCTCTCTCTCCCTTTCTCTCTCCCCCCCACTACCCCCCACTCCCAGTCTACATAGGCACCAGGGGTCACATGAAGAGTACAGAACAAAAACGAGCTCTGAGCACCAGGGAGCTCCCCGTGATTTTGGGCAAGCTGGCTTCTTCCCTGGACCCCCTCCTCATCAGTAAAATGAAGGATGGGCTATTTGATGCTTCAGGCTCTTCCCTCTCAGAGTGCTTATGATGTGTTCATGTTCCAACTTAGGCTGGCCCTGGCCCTCAGTCCATGTTTGAAGGGAACTCACAGGAAACTCCTTTCCCTAAACGAAGACACTGGCGATGGTCTCATTAGTGGGATGCAGAGGTGATGGGTCACTCAGAAGTGGCCCCCTCATGTGTGTGTGTGTGTGTGTGTGTGTGTGTGTGTGTGTGTGTGTGTGTGTGTGTGTATGCAGGGCAGGTAGAAGGTAGGGACAGCCAAGGAGAAAGGAAAGCAGCTCTCTTGTTTTTGATGAAAGGCATGGAAGGCAGTTGGGATTTGTGGGGCAAGTAGGACATCCCTGGGGTTCTCCAAGCCCACAGATGCCTTTATCCCCAGGACCTAATCCCTGGCTTGGGGCTGCATTTTTCCATTTAGGAAAAGTGCATTCAAAATTTAGAAGAGCAGGGTGGGGTAACCCTAGTGTTTGGCACTTCAGGGTGTAGGATAAATCCCCACGAATCCCCAAAGGTCCTGGCAGAGAGAGGGGCAGGATGGGTCTTCAGTGCTTCCTTCTCCAACACTGCTTGAAGACAGCATGGAGCAGGGGGACTTCAGAGAGACTCTGAGAAGTTCTGTGTCTCCAGACCTCAGCCTTCCCTTCCCCCACTTCTTTTAAGCCACCATGGTGATCAGAACCAGCCCAGTGGCTGTCAGCATGGCCCAGAGCCAGCAGCGCTATCAGAAAAACCTTGTTCTCCATCCCATTTACACTGCTGTAGTGATCTTGAATAAGTCACTTCATGAGGTTTCGTGTTCATCTGTAGACTGCAGGTTTTAATGTCGACTTCACAGGGACCTTTTCAGTATTAAATGAGGCAGTGTACATGAAGTACTTAGCACACTGCCAGCACATAATAGGTGTTCACAGGTAGGGGCTCTTACTGTTGTCAGCGTTGAGTTGCTGCCCAGACCACTTGCCTTGCTTCAGATTCAGATTTAGAGCCAACTAATAGTAAGTGTCTACCTGTCCCTGGGCAATCGCACAAACACCAGTTGCCCAGCCCATTTGCCTGGCTCATGAGCCTGTATCTGGCTTTGTCTCACAGCCCTGCCCTCTTGTTGGTTTTGCAGTCAGTGCCTATAGCCGAACATTGCCTGTGGTCTGGCTGCAGCACACAGTACGCTCTCCCTCCCTGCCCGTGGTTCTCCAGGACTCAGACAGCAGCTCAGACCTGTTACCAGCTCCTGGGTGCTTACCTGGAAATGACCTGTGCTTGTCGCCATCCCTGGCCCCTCAATTGCTCCCCTATTCTGACTCCTTGTGCTTCTTCTGGGGTCTGTTGCTGCCCTCAGCCCTGAGTTGCCAAACCATGAGCTCCAGCACCAAACCAATGTCCCGGGTGCTTTCTTCCTTGTCTAACATTCATTTTTCTTCACAGTCTCTTTGGGGTCTTCTCTGTTCCTCTGTGATACCCTAGTTTATCCTACCTCTCCCCATCCTGTGCTCTTTCTCTATTCTTAATACCTACACCCAGTCTTGGACTCCCCTCTTCCCGACTCTCCCCTTGGCCCACTCCAGGCCATACCTGTATACTCCGTCAAAATTGGCTCTATCCTTTGTCTCTGTCACTAGAAGTCACTGCTCCAAAGGATCTTAAAGCAATTTCAGCTAAGGTGTTAATGCAAATGGTAGCTTCAGGGCTATATTTATATCTTAACAAAAATGTCTGGGTTGAGAACCCGTCCTTCTCATCCAAGCTGTCCTCCGATTTGCCGCTTCATCCCAAAGAGAAACCAGCCGTTAATTGCCCTGTGCCAGAGGTGCAAAGAAGTCTTTGGCCCTCTGGGGCCAAAGGCAGCCATGTGGACACGCCCATCCCAGAGCCTGGGGACCTCTCCTGAACCCGGCAACTTCAACAGAGGCAACTATAGCGGTCCATCAGTAATCAGCAGGAGCCCGCGGGGCACATCCCTCATCCTCCTCCACCCAAGGTGATCTAATACATCAAAGCAATCAGAGCAACAGCCAGAATGAAGAAACAAAGAAACATGTCCCAAGTACAAGATCAGAAGAAACCTCAAGAAATGCAACTAAATGAAACAGAGGT